CGCTTCGAGGCCCAACGGCCGTAGGAGTTGCGTGCACCGGACAATCGACACCCCGACACTGGAGACACTGCCCACACGGGCTTAACAGGTTTAGTGAAGCTTGGGCATCCGGATCGCTGGGACTCTAGGCGGCCGCGGCCCGCAGGTACGGGACCCTGGATGGCAGCCACAGAACGGAGTACCTACGAGTTACTCCGTACTGTGGTAGAGTGGTACGTTTCTTAGTACGTACGTACGAGGAGAGGTGGGCAACTCCAGTGGCCCCTCATCACATTCGCCTTGGTCCTCAGCTAGTCGTGCCCCACTAGAACAAGTACTGTGTACCTAGGTAACAAGTCCTCGCATCGAGTATTCACATTACTTAGACTCCGGACGTACCGGTTGGCAGCATAAACTGTAATTAAGAAATGTAAGTACTACGTATGCCACATGAAGGCTCTCTTCGCCATGCTGTCCTGTGCGCTCCTTTGAACACGACGTACGGAATACAAGGAGCAGGATTGAACACGCATGGCGACGCTCACTCCCATCTTACGCTCTAGACGCATCGCATCGGGGGCCGATATCAGCATGGGCTCCTTCGTCGTGAACCGCGCATCGAAATCGGGAACTAGACTAGGTAAATGCCACCGTTGTACGGAGTACTATCACAGCCATGAACACGGTGTATTCAGGACTCACACCATGTGGGAATGTGTCCGCGCTCAGCGTGTCGGATTATGTCCCACAGCACTCGTACTGTGCATTTGCCCTTTGCCCATCGCATGGGGCCAAGGATCGACGAGCTGGTCCAGTCCAGTCCAGTCCATCGCTTCCCTCACCTCACCTTCGCTCACCTCACCTCAGTCTATCGCGTTTTACTCTACGGAGTACTCCGTACTAGGTATACAGGACAAGTTACTGATGCACAAGCTCGAAGAGACGGTCTTGAGTACGACATGTAGATGCACAAGCGCGAAGAGACGGTCTTGAGTACGACATGTACGTACTCTGTACATCACGTCCTGTGCAAATGCAAGGCACCGACACACCAGCGGAGAGATCCGCTGGACAAACCCGTCAGCTGAAGTGATACGGGGTGAATACCTAGGTCCTTACTTTGATTCCTTTCCGTTGGCCAAAGCTTCTTGGACCTCGTCCCCTCGTTGGCCCTCGAGGAGAACCGCGGCTCTTGCCCTGGTATCTAGGACGATCCCAGGATGCGCGTTGTTTTGATACTCGTACATGCCTAGACACGACAGTTATGCTCTCGCCTGTTGTGCTCTGGGATGGACCATGCTACAGTATAGGATGTACGGACTACATCTTACTGTGTTGAGCGAATCAGAACGTCACTCGCAGTAGCCCGAATAGGACGGAGTACTCCTGGACTCTCACCGTGCACTCGGTCATGTCTATTGCAGAGGTCCCGATACCGCTAAGTCAGTCGGTGGTGGGACCTCCTCTCCACGCTCAAGGTTAAGGTCTCGGTCAAGCTCGTGTCGATCATCGTATCGTCTGGTGTGGAGGACGACCCAGATTTCAGCCGTCGTGCGTCCGAGACGGAAGATCATCCATACAGAAGTCACGGATCCTCATGCGAACACCCCAGCTGGGGGGCTGATGTGGCTTGCGCCCATTATTACCTCGTACCGAGCTCTAGCGCGTGGCAGCAAAGACCGTTGTGAGAACTGCTCGCTGCTCGCAGCTCGTGGGCCACTCATCTTAACCGCGCCGCTTTTGTCGTCACGTACCTCGCCTTTCACCCTCCTCTTACTTTTCACTCACCTTTCACTCACCTTTCACTCCCTCTTGACTCAACCTCGGCGTCGTGGTCCCGTTCTCCCTGCAGCTCCGTCGTGTACGCCCGCGTCTTCGCCCAGGATCCGAAATCGGCGTCGGTCGACATTGCGTATCCCCATCGCGAGAACCCCGTTACCCGAGTTATATGTACGGTGCTTCGCGGGTCAAGAAATGGTCCCTCTGTCGGGTTCGAACAAGATGCCTTGTACCTGAACCATAATAATTCTCCAATGCCTGAATGATCGGTATGGATTGTGGAAGTCATGGTGCTGCCGAGGAACGTCGAGATTTCACCACGACTCCGCCTGGTACGAGTACCCATAGCAACTAGGAGCACTGTGACCGGTAGTACTTATTCTCTCCTCTGTGTCGTCCCTGTCTGTCACAACGGCCGCTGCAGTCATCTCGTTGTTGGACTGTAGATATATGTCGTGGGGTGATCTGTCCCATACGGTTGAACATGGGAGTGAGTGACTCTCACGTTCTGTTTTGTGACCGGTCCGTACTTTCTTGTGAGGTGAAAGGATCAAGATCGTTTCTGCTGGCCATTTTCCAGGACCGGTGGCGGCGGTCTCCTAGATGGTGCCAGAAGAGTCAACACGCTTGCCTCTGAGATCCACCGCGTCCCGGTTTTTTGCTCTGTTTCGCGTCTCTCTCTTCGTCTATATCGAGTGGTGCGTATGTCGTTACAAGTCTTTCCTCCCAATTTTGCATGGCCGAGTGTGACAACTGAAAAGGATTCGCCAGGGTTTGTACGGTTCGGACATTCCCCCTGGTCCGCACTGTCGGCCCCTCTTTCAATCGAAGTGATACTCCCAGCGGTGGCTAGGTTGTCAGTCACCGGTAGACGAAGAAGGGGGTGGTCGTGGCATTGCTGTGAAGTGGGAGTTCACGCCCCTTCGCTATTCACGCAATTCTGTGACGGGACGGTGCGGCTTGGGGACGTCCGTCGTCGATCCAATGACCAGATCACACTTTGGGCACAAATCTGGATCCAATCTCTCGGAAGGGCGATAAGTGATCAGTAAGGCTGGAGTCCTTGAGGCCCTGCCCCCGATCAAGGCGACGTTTCGCCTGAAAGCGTGTGACACTGTAGTATTGCTACGGTTGATTGCCGCCAAGCGAACATCTTGTTCAGCGATCCCAAGTGACGGTGAGCGGAATGCCAGGTTTTTGCTCGTCTCCAGGAGGGAGTAGCGGATGATCCTGAATTCCCCTTTTGGATGCTCCTCTCAGTATTTGAGATGTTTTGACCCAGATACTTACAACGACTGTCTAAAACAGTCTCCGACGGAGCTTGCAATCTGGGTTTCTAGGATCTGGCTCTCGATGTAGGCCTATTTGAAAGGCCAACCCTACAGCCAGTTTGAGCCAGGAGGGAGTAAACAAATTCAGGACCTTCGGATTGTACCACTGGGGGCAGACAAAGTGCACGGATGACGGTGAGTGCATCGAGCCCGTGTTCAGCAAAATAGAGTGCTCTGGCTCGGTTGTTGAATTGGCTGCAGCTGTTGAACGAGAAGCGGGAGGATTGAACACGGCTTCCCGCCACAGAATGAAATAATGCTAGAGTCAGCAGGGATGGGGACGGTGTATTTCCCCTTTTCTCCTGTGACGGCTCTCGATCCCATACTCTTTGAGCTCCTCCGGCTCGATCACGGGTATCCAAGGAATGCAATACACTTTGAAGCTGCTCATGAGGCTATATCTCATGGCACGAGTCGGGAGATCGAAGGCCCCGTAGAGGCGTAGAAAAGCGAGGTCAACTTCTGCCCTCGAGGCTGTCGGAGGTGACGTTGGCGCTGGGGACTCCATCGGCTCTCTGTTTCCCTTTCAAAGGGACTCGACCTCGTTCTCCAGGTATATCGGTCGGCCTAAAACTTCCTCCTTTGGGTGTGAGCAAAGGCTGAGGAGTTGATGTAGCGGTGGCGATCGAAGTGGTAGGCTTGCGCCCTGCTATGTGAGGCTATGCCGTCGTATTGGACAAGCTTAGAATGGCCTGTTCGTGAGGATTGCATATAAGGGGGTCAATGGTTCAGCATTTGCATTGTCAACTTCATTCTGAACTTCAGTCTCTCCAGGCTACCCAGGTTGCGAACGTCTTGAGAGCCTAGGCATTCGTATCGATATCACCATCCTCCAGGCAGTTTGAGTGGTCGTATGCCTGCGTATGAGTTGGAGAAGGTCGGCTGGTGTTGACTTGGGCGGCAGGTCTATCGAATATGTATCCTTGGACACTGTGCGCCATGCCCTTTGTTGATGCGGTCTCCCCCTAAATTACTCCTTGCCGCCGACTGAATGCGGGACGATGCCGAAGGGTGACGAGACACATCAGCGACTCTTCCGATCGACGCTGATTCCTTGATATGGGCCAGTCCAGATCGTGGCGGCATCGATCGAATCAAAGAGGAGAGACAAGTCGTTGAACCACAAGACCTGTCATGATTCGCGCAGAGAGTTGTCCAATGTGCCGCCGTGCAGGACAGACTGGCAACGGCAAGGCTACGACTCCTTGAGAGGCACAAAGTTGTCTCTCTGTCCCCTTCACCCGCCACTACATACCCCGGGAAATGGCCGGGATCCATCAAAATAGGCTCAGCGACGAAATATATACCCAAGGGATTCTGTCGGCATCGCTGTGCCGGACTGGACCAGTTACTGTACTGTAACCATGTCCGGTTCTCCCGAAACCGGTGGCCAAGGAGCAACTTTCGGGACTTCAGCCGAGATCCCGTGGAACAAAAAGCTCCCTGGGTGGGGGCGATTGACTTGAATTTGGTTCATGTGATGATGAATGTGGAGGAAGACAACCCTGCTTGTACCGAGCCCATGCTACTACCAAGGCCGTGCTACTACCAAGCCCATGCTCCCCTATTGCAAAGCAATGAAAACTCAAGGACGTCCTTGAGCATGGCGCTGGATGGATCAGAGCTCGTACACCGATATACTTCTTATAAGAGGTCAAGATCATCGAGTATTAATTAGACTCGTATCGCGAGACGTCTAGACGGAGGACCAGACAATTATCCTGACGTGCTACCTCGTTTGTCATTGCGTTTATGTTCTATTTACACCTTCAGTACTACCAAAATATGGCGTTTGTTTATCTCCTGCCCTACCACTGCAGCTTGACAGTTTGGAATGACGACGTCATTTGTGCCCGACAACACCAGCGACGATGACGATACACCACAGGCTTACGGTCTATTAACGGTCTATTATCGCATGTATTGCTGGGGTGGCTGAGGCCATTCGTCCAAGACGACCTCGTCGCCAGTCAGAGTGAAATTGAGAATTGCCTGCCCCGATTAGTTAGCGTTGATTCTGTAGTTATGCTTGCGGCCAGGCAGGGGTAAGACTCACCTGTGTCGGCTGGTCTACTAGCAGAGCGTAGTCGCCTGGGTAGAGGACGGTGTTTCCTAGCTCGTCGACCCGCGCCAAAGAGCCCAACGTAAGGTTCAGCATGGTAATCCGCGAACTTCCACGCTGGACATCATGCAGTCGGTCGTATGCGACCAGCGTCTTGATCGGGTATGGCTCCGGGCCGAACTGTCCTGACAGGAACCCCAGAGTGATAAAGTCGGACGTGGTGCTACCGGTATTTGTGACGTTGACGGGGAATGCTTGGAAGGGGCAGCGGTCGGGATAGATATCCGTGCAGTTGCCCATGAGAGAGGCGATGGAGTAGGTCGACGACGGACTCGACATAAAAGACGCCGAGAAGTTGGTGTAGTGAAGTCCGAACCCGAACGGGACGACGGCATCCTTGTACCATCTGTACGTCCGTCCCGGGTTGTTGGGCCCCGGCCTGAGCGACATGTCTGTCATGGGAACGTCATTGACATAGCCCGCCGGATACTGGGTTACAGGCAGTCGACCCGCCGGTGCGACCGTGCCGGTGATGATATCCATTATCGCCGTCCCTCCATCCTGTCCTGGGTATCCAGCCCAGAGCAGGGCGCTGATATTGGGGTTGGCGAGAAATTGAGACGAATCCAGCATCATGCCCATCTGAACGAGAATGCACGGCTTTCCCAACGCGGCCACTTGCGAGATCAGGTCTCTCTGAGTTTGGGTCCAATCTATCCAGTACCTGAAATGGTCATGTTAGCCTTCCAAAGCAACCAAGGGCAAGACATGGGTCCCTACCGATCGTCGCCTTCGTCGGCATCTTCTTGATCCATGCCGCCAATGTAGATGACGACATCTGAGCGATTGGCTGCGCGGACGGCAGCTGGAATAAAGTCTGTCAACGGATTGCTTTGTCCCGGCCCGGTTGCGTAGTTGACGGTCACATTGAGCTGTTGAAGGGCGTACAAGGGGCTATGGAGGTAGGGTGCGGTGCCTGCATAGTTCCCCTGCATCGAGACGGTTGCATTGGCCCATTCTCCTATCACCGCAACCGAGGTCGAGGGCGTGATGGCGTAGGGGAGTGTGCCGTCGTTCTTGAGCAGGACGATGCTCTCCGCCGCAGCGTTGTAGGCCAACCTCTCCGATGCAGGCGTGGACACATCTGACCAACCCAGGGAACGGTAGGGATGTGAAGAATTGGAGTCGAAGTAGCCCAGTCGGACAAGAGCAGAATAGAGGCGAATCAACGATTGGTCCAGCACGGACTCTTCGACCAACCCTTGAGCAATGGCGCCGCCGAGATAGTTTGGATAGTACGTGCCACAGTTGAGGTCCGTACCTGCGGCGAGGGTGTCGGCCACAGTCTGCTCCCGAGTCGCTGCATATGCGTGGTCGTGTGCGCCCGAGCTGAACACTTGCTGGACTGCATCGCAATCCGACACGACCCAGTGATCACTGGCATTCCAACCCCAGTGCTCACGCAAAATCGTCTGCATCAGGTATTCGTTTGCACATGCTGGGACACCATTGAGAGAGTTGTAGGAGCACCTTGGGGCGACTACGTTAGACTTTCTTTGGTTCTGGGTCGTGGCTTGATCACGGTCCTTGGACTTACATGAAAGCACCAACCTTGGCATCTCGTGCACAGGTTTGGAACGGAGGCATGTAATACTCCTTTAAATCTTGGGCACTGACTTGAGCATCAAAATCATATCGGCGGATTCCGTTCCAGTTCTCTAGATCGTACGCCGCGAAGTGCTGTCACCGTGTTAGCATATCTGAAGGGGAGATTCCCATATTGAACCTTCGTCAAGCTTAACAAAAAGGGGCTCTGCGCAAGGGCGTGAGGCCTTCGCCGCCGCTGGGTCTGCTCTCACCTTGCAAGTTGCCACGACGCGATACACGTCTGGATCAATACCACCCTGTAAACCGGTAATCAAGGCCTTGACGTATGACTGTAGGTGAAACGGATCTTCTCCAGGAACCTCTGCCGCAATTCACTTGTCAGCCTCAACATGCCTTTCCACGGAGGTCACGACCTTACCCTGCCCACGTCCCCACCGCGGATCGCGAAACGGATTGATATTAGGGGTCCATAGATCTAGGCCCAGGCGGTTCGCATTGCTAAATGCTCTGGCTTCGGTGCTGATGACAGTGGCAACATCGAATATCAAGTCGTCATCAAATGCGGCTCCCATGAGAAGCGGCTGCGGAAACGAGGTGGCGTGACTATAGTCACCTTCGGGGGTGTAGTTGGCACCGTGTCGAGTAGCGACCCCGTGTCTACCCTGGTATGAGACGATGACCTCTTTGGGATGGAATGACATACAATGCTTCTTGCCACCACTATAGCACTACTTAGCCGTTGAATGAGACAGAAGGAACAGGGGAAACAAACATCATAGGCGGGCAAACCCAAACGAGGGACTCCAGGATTCACATTGCCACTGCTATTCAGCTTCTCTGCCAGAGTCATTTCGTTGACGAGAGCTCTCGCACGGTCCACAGATGACCTGGACGTGTCACAGACAGCATTCGACTTGAGCGGTCCATTGTTGCAATCGGGGAAGAGATATTGGCCGCCAACAGGTGCGAGAATGGCGAGAACGAATGTTGCTGTAGCGAGAGAAGACATCCTGTAACGAGCTGACAAAGTACCTCTAGCACGGGCCACGCCTTGCCTCTGAATCCTGAACACCAGAACGACCCGCCATCTTTATACTTTCGTCGACCGAAGCACGGCATTCGAGCACTGCACAATTGTTGGCAGTAGCTTCTCGGAAGAATGCGAAGTCCATTTCGTCAAGGCTAAAGTCACGTTTGAGTGTATTTCGAGCGGCTTCGGCCAGGTACCCCGAGCTCGATGTCCCCAGTCGGCATCAGAGGCGCGGATCGTGCAGATCACCTTCCAGGAACCAAGAATGCGGAGACGCCCAGTCGGAGAAAGCTTGACATTGTGGGCTTTCTGTTGTACTCGGTACAAGAGTCGAAGCCGGCAGATGTAGGGACTGTGGTTCATGGAGTGACGACGGTGGGACGTTAGAGTCGGCTGCTCGGAATACCGCGTGTACCTAGGAATATGACCGGCAGCTAGCCATGCATAGAACCCTCACAATATCGGAGAGAACACAGCACTCAGCCTTGGCACGCTCGTCAAGCGAGTAAGAAGCACAGTCTCCTGTGGACGATGTTGGTGAGGTGGAGAGGCACTCCCAGCCTGCGATGAGCAGATCTTGCCGGGAGGAGTCTGAGACTGGCGCCGTCCGGTTAAATTGGATGAATACAATCCGGAGCGTCACCGACCATCGATGCCTCGCCTAAATCCTTTAGACAGACACTTCAGCCGTCGTGCTTGACCGCACCTAGTAATCGTAGCACCATGAGCGGGCCATCCTCCCATGCGCGCACCCCAGCTTTCATCACTTCGTGGACCAATTTATCCGGCTGGCAGCGGTGAGAAGCGTTCTGGCAGTAAATGTCGAACCAAACGAGCCTCCCTCTCGAAACGACCGGGGAAAATCCGCTTCCACCTCCATATGTCGTGTCTTAGCACGCTCAAGAGGAGTTCCATCGACGCCCAGCTCACCTCGCGCCTCACCTGACCGGCGCCGCTTTTAAACACCACTCACCCCCCCCCCCCCGGGGTCACCTGCCCTCACCTTTTACTTATCTTCACTCACCTACACTTACCCGCGACCCTCGCTCTATCCCCTTGATGACTATTTCGGTCCCTCGCGCTACATATGGATCTCCGTCTGTAGCCGTCTAGAGTTAGTAATCTCGGAGTTTAGTACGCGGGTCTATAGACGCCTTCTCACTAATATATCGTCGACCTTATTTTCGACCTAGAAATGGTCCTGTTAAAAACCTCGTGCACTCCCTGGATCGCAGGAGGCCTGGAGGCCTACCCTGTATCGTTTCTACGACTCGCAAGTCATCCGAGATTGAAAGCGAACAATAGCCAGCATTGATTTCATTATGATAGAGGTTGGGAAAGACACTTCTGGCGGTGGTCGCGACAATGGGCGACGACCGTCTATAGACATAGAGCCAGAGCTCGAGCTCGAAAGAGTGGAGGCAGGGCGGCGACTACGAGAAAAGCACCGTTGAGCACTCAGAAGGACGCCCGGGCGCACTGGGCTGTGACATATCGGAGGTGTCCAGAGGATACTATATGAGCCCTCGCTTTATCGGTAGCTACCTCGTAAGGCACCCTCCCAAGCGAGACGTATTAGTCCGCTTGCGGAAATGACCCTGTTCAGGCTGTGGCTACCGGCTTCCTTGGTGACGTGGGCGGGTTCGCTTGATTGCGCCCATAACTCCCGACATCAACAACGACATTGTATGCTTTTCACGCTCCATACCCACCACGGGCATGTATGTTGTATCAGTGCCTGGAGTATGACCCCTCGCCGTCATCATTGTTTGCACCTCACAGCATACGCTCAGATGGGCAAGGAGCAGGGCAAGGACGAGATCATCAACCCCAACGAGCTGGAGAAATCCGATCCCTTCAAGTGGACCGCAGTCTGGAAGGGACACGCTATGCGGACACGCTGGCGACTTTTCCTCGCTTGGTTTTTGTATTGTTTTACCAATGAAGCGCGTACAATTCCACCTCTCCTCTTTGAGAGGGAGTAGGTGCCCAGAGCTTGAAGTTGCTGATCTGTGATGAAAGGGTGGACCGGGGCAAATGCGATTGTTTTCTATGTGCCCACTCTCATGGAACAGAACGGTCGATCTCTCCCATTTCTCAGCCCTCATCGCCCGCGGCTGCGTCAACATGGGCAATATGCTGGGAGCCTTCTTCAGCTGCCTGATTTTCGGATCGAATCGGCCGGAAAGGCCGCTCCTCATCGGGTTGTCCAGACAATCTGTACTTATGATGCTGTTCGGGTGTGATGATCAAATATAGCCATGTTGGGCCCGCAACAGGTAGAGCTGCAATTGCATTCCTGCCATGCGCAAGTTCCAGACCCTTCGACGAGTCAGCCCTCGTAGGGCTTGATTGATACCTTTCCCGATCAGCATGAGATATGCCTTGGAGCCAGCAGCTCGTCCATTCCCTGACTTAATCGCGCCGAAGCCCTCCCACTACGTGTCAGGGCTTAGGGAACCTCGCTTGCCATCTTCACCAACTGCATGTGGGTGTACGTTTGGGGTAGCAGAAGCCTCTGGAAAAGCAGTCCGCTGGTGCATTTCAGCAATTCACCATTGCCATGTGCCACCTCAACCATGATCCGCAGTCTCGGAGTCATTCTTTGACACGTCTGAGAGCGATGTCTGCAATTCTCGGTAGAAGAGTAGTACGATTCGCGCTGAACTGACTATTTAAGAATTAGAGTGGTTCAACCTGATCACGCATCGCTAGCTGGTGCGAGATTTATTTCGCTTGATTCCTCTCCTCGACTTCAGCGTCTATCACAACCAAGCTCTGCAGCCCTTCGTCGTCGACCTTCTGTTTACTCACCACAAACACGGCAATGACTTCGGCCTCCTCGTCTCCGACGTTTTCTGATCGCACGTGGTGACAGCCCGGTGGCTCATACCAACTTTCTCCCACAGAATAGATCTTCGGACCGGTGCCTTGCGAGTCAGGGTCGTGGTGTGGACAGACCATTTGGTTCAACACCTTGCCCTTTGTCATCGTGGCCACGATTGCCGCGCCGCCATGGGTATGGGGTGGTGTTGCGGCGTTGACCGGCGCCGTCACCTTCAGGCCGAGGTAATAGTGATCTGGGATGTTGGACGGCGACTCTTGGAAAGCGACAGCAACGGCGGGCCTTGGTCTCCTAGATGATGATAAGCTCGGACTGGGTGCAGGAGTTGGACACAATATAGAGCGAACCCTGCAACAGTCCACATGCCGTCCTTTTTGACCACTTCAAGATCTTGCCACCGCACGTTCATGTCAACGGACATCTTGTCCTTCTCAAAATCGATGTTGCTTCAGTGTGATATTAGCAGGATGGGGGAGTAAAAGGTCCTGTTGTGAGATTTTGAAATGTTTTTATAATCGCTCATACTCTGCTTCCGGAGGTTACCAGCGTTTCTGTGAGCCGCATGGATGAGGAACTCGTACTGCTGACTTGTATTCAAGGAGGAGCTTATGTAACTCTATTACAGATATCCAAGTTCGAAACCCAATCAGCAGGCGTCATGGGTCACCGAATACCCGTGGTTGTAGATACCTCATTGGCCACCACGGAGAAAGGGTATCAGAGCTCAGTTGATCTTGTCTGGCGTACCGAGCTGATTGCACTACCATGTGGATCGTCCAAGGGCTCAAAGGCTGCTTTTTCCGCCCGGGCAAGTCATGGGCTATTGCGGATGTCGTAACTTGATCAAGAAAACAAAATCAACCAAGGAGGCGGCTCATCTGCGATCGTCCGCGACGCTGAAATGGTCACTCGTTTGTAACACGGATATATTCTCCCACAGAATGCCGGAATTGTCGCCGCGTGGCTTCTATTCATAAAGGAAGACTACGGAGGCGGCGCAATGTCGAAACGTTGATCACGACGAAACGTGGCGAAACGGATGCTATCCGCTTACACCCAAACGATGGTGATCCATCTTCACCCTACTCTGAAGCCAATCCTACTCCCGCCACAGCCCTGGTCTTCGATCATGAAGTTCCAGTCTCTCGACCGCAACGACCGGGGGAGATGTTGGTGCGCGTCGAAGCGACGACCGTCGTTTCGAGATGCTCTGACTTGGCCAGAGACCTATTGCAGAAAATACAGCATTTTGGGCAACGACATCTCCGGAACAGTGGTCTCCATCAGCGAGGACTCTCAAAGTTCTCTGTTCAAGCCGGGAGACGAGGTTTGTGGCATGACAGCGGCATCGCGAGCTGGAACCTGGGCCGAATATGCGGTGGTGTCGGCAGAGGAAGCGTGGTCCAAGCCCCGGTCTCTCTCGTGGGCGGAAGCCGCAGCTGTACCTTTGAGTGCCTTGACTGCATATCAAGCACTCTTTGACAAAGCTGGCATGGTGCCACCCGACTTCAGCAACACTCATGGAGCGATCCGGTCTCGTCCCGGAAGCGGTAGAGAAAAGAAGGGTCGTCTGCTGATGAGCGGAGGTGCAGGTTGTGTCGGGATCTATGCAGTGCAATTGGCCAGCTTGGCCGGCTTGTATGTCGTCGCAGCGACAAGGTCAAGAAGACGGGATGAAGAATTTCTGAAAGGACTCGGTGCAGACAAGGTAATTGAGTATGGCGATCTGATTAAAAGTTCATGGACATATGAGACTATCATTGACACGGTCGGCGGAAAGGGTCTTGAAACCTGCTGGAGCCTGGTCACCGAGTGCGGCACCTTGATATCTATCGACAGCGCAAGCTACGATTTTGTGCGGCGCCACCGCGAGTCCGGACTGGCCAGTGGGAAGGTAGCCGTCAAGGCTCTCTTTTTCATTGTGGATCCTTCGAGAACTGGTCTGGAACAATTGGCAAAGGCCCTGGACTCGGCCCTTCTGAAGTCCTTTGTGGCGCGCGTGATGCCCTTGGCGGATGCAAGGCAGGCTTACATGTATTCCTCGAATGCACCTAGAGAGCGAGGGAAAATTGTTCTGGTGCCTCAACATAGCAGACAAATCCACACATAGTCTCGAAGAGCTTCACAGCCTGCGATCAGCTTTCTAGCTAGGTGAACTCCGATAATGATGGAGTTGGCGTTGCCTCAATAACTGGAACATGGATTGACCCAGAGGCTCAGGATTCGTGGTTATCAGCCAAGACCCACGTCGGATCGGCTGGTATGTCACCTAGATAAAATTCAGTATCGAAACCCTCCAAGAAGGGCATAGCTAGGCCGTAACCACTCGAGGTTTGAGAGACGTCAACCCCTGCATTGAGGGACGGTTGTATGCTGCAATCGGGAGGGATTGTGTCCAAACACCGAATACGCGGGTGATCCTGGGAGGACTTCTCCAGTACTTCTGGTGCAATGGTTAGGATCTCTTGCACCGTCGTCTGTGCCTGCGGCCAGACCGTTGAAAGCGATTTGATATACCCAAGGCTCACTTTGATCTGATGTCGTGCGACTGCCAACTTCTGACGGGTCAAACAGAACTTGCAGGCCGACAGAAGTGAGATTGTGCCAGTGGCAAGCATACAGACGACGAAGGGTGTATGAGCGTACGGTCGTATTGGTAGGGCTAACAATCGGATCTGGCCCTCGATCGATTGGAGGCAACGTGCCGTGTGTATTGTCTCGTAGTCATCAGTGGAACAGACACAGTTGTCTGGAGTATTTGCCAAACAGCTTGATATCCGCTCGACTGGATTGAGTACAAGCGCCAAGAATTGTCTATGGTTTGACACTGTCAACCTAGGAAAAGGTAAGTTTGGATATACCCAAAAGCACAATCAAATAGTATGATAGCAAGATAGTGCATTCAGGAAAGACTGTTGCAGATGAGTTGCTAGATGAGTAGACTTACGCATGGATTGCTATATTGGCCTGGAACATCAATTCATCGAATTCGCCATTCCTAGAGAGGATTTGACGTTTTGACTCCGGAAGAAGGAGCAACCATCCTTCAATCACAACATCCATCATCTCAACAACATTGGATGGGGAGTCTTTCGAGGTGTCCCCCCCGAGACCCGGCATTACTGTGTGAAGGCCGTGAGTAATGCCGACCAGATAGGCAAATGACGAGTAGACTTGGTTCTTGGCTGAAAATTCTCGAGAATCGAATTGGTCGAGTGTCTTTGGAGGAGGTATTGACTATAAATGGTTGCACCGTCAGCTGATACCAATGGCCTGGAAAATGGTGAATAAGTACCCCAGACTCATATTCTTTTTCTTCGCAGGGCAGCTCGGTAGTAACATCCACGCAATACGTTGGGCAAATTCGTACGTGCTTTATGGCTGCAAACCACGAATCCACAATGTATAGCTGCCACCACGTTCTTCTCCAGCTTTCCTCCAGCAGCGAATCACCGCGTCCATGCTGAGTTGCAAAACTCCGACGATGCATTTCGAGCTCCAGTGCTAGCTCTATCGCTCGATCCATCTCTTCCCGGGAACGAACAGGTTCGCCGCACCAGTAAAGTGTGACAGAGTAGATGAGACGATATTGCACGGTGAAAGGACCCCGCGAACATTGTTCCGTGGGCACGTAAACGTCGATAGCATCCTCGACCAGTGGTCTTCCGTGTTCTAATCGAGCGTACAACGAGCCAACGAACCGCATAACCGAAATTAGAGGCTTCAGGCTGATCTGCCTGGAAGGGTCCTCTAACAGTCTCTCTAGCTGTGCCTGTGGGAGAACGCACGGATGCTGTCGATGAAAATGCTTGTAATAGAGATTAATGTATGGATCTCCCCGGATGTTTAGAGACTCGGCCGGCACGAAGTGCGGGATAGCTTTGGCAGCACAAGGCCTTGCGCCGCGGGGAGAGGACGGACTCGTCTGTATTTGTGACATGCTGTTCGTGTCGAGTGGCAGGAGATTGTGTTCTCCCTCTTGCGGAGGCCGCTCTCGGTGTGGAAACGGAAATGTGGATGCAAAAATACGTTCAAGGCTGGCTATTCGCGACTCAGTTGTTGCAAGGCTACGTCGTGCAGCTTTGGCAGTCCGGTTAAGACCACCTCTCCAGGATCACGCATATTGACACACTGTTGACGTCGGGATGTGCAGCGCCCACACTGTGGTTTTCCGGCGTCACATCTGACATGTCGAGTCCGACACCGAATGCAAGCAAGGGAGACTCGAACGGCTCCACCGTGGAGAGACGATGCTGGGAATTGCGCATTACCCATCCTGATAGAAGCCGGCTTGAAGGTCTCAGGCTTGAAGACTAGAAAACTAATGCGGTATTATGTCCCTCTGCACCAACCTTGGCATTCCGATGTCTTCCTTCCCGCAATTCCACAACGTGGCCGGCAATCCGGGGACTCGGGTGAGTCAGACAAGCGGAATGCCGCCTGCCGGCCAAGCTTCTCCGCGGGAACTAGACCGAAACAGGAAATATATCTCGATCCGGCAATCGGGGATTGGGCCCGTGGCAGGAGGCACAGCACAACACACGTCCTTATGCTTTATCTCCTCAACGATTAAGTCGTCCATCAAGTCTGCCAATTCTGGTTGAGACAGTCGTGCGCATCACCTTGACGACTGAAGCTGATGCGACATCGCAGTGCACGATTCCAGGAAGCATGCGACCTCGATTGAGAGTCTTTCGACTTTCCCCGAATACCCGCCAGCTGGAGCGAGTTTGTTACACAAAGGGATACTCTTGCTCATGCGGACCTTAACTGCATTGGCATCACTTCCTGCAGCAGCCACGATAACAAGATATGCGGACTGGAATATGCTGTCCATGATGGAGAGTTGTTGTACCTTCTCAGGGTGATCGTCTTGAATGATGCAAAGAGTGTCGACCCAAAGGAAACGCACCCCCACTTCTCTAAGAAGCTGCATCGCGTCTGATATGGACCGGGGGATCGAGCACTGCTTTAGGCCGTAGAACGATGTGTACAGCATCAGGGTGTCTCGTGTCAGCATCGGGGCTGTGGTCGGTCCCCACACGTAAGACAATGCTGCATATCGTTCGGTCTGAGAAGCATCTATGACCCTCAGTTCTTGGATATCGATAAGGCGGATATTGTTGCTTTTCGATATTGTTGGGTTCTCCAACGGGCATGCAGTATGTTCCGTATGGCACAGCTCAATCCAATGCTTGACCAGACTGATGCTAACAGTTGGTGGCACTACTCGACCTCGATATCTTATAGCTGGCTCTTCCGGCTCGTTTGCTGAGGGGAACGCATCATCAGTTGGAGGGCATTCTGATCTGATGATTGGCCCAGTCACTGTGGTCCTGGGCCGGTCCAAAATTCGCAGCCTCACTTCGATAAGACTTTGCATGTGGATCTCGCTGTAATGTATAAGGTATTCCATTTCATCGTTTCCCGCGACTGGCTGGGTCCCATTTGGTGCTAGGAATCTCGCGCGAATGAATCTTCTCTCGATCATAAGTTCCTGCCGGTCGACGTCCACGTTATTCTGGGTAATCGAACCGACCGTAGCAAGTATGAGACGACAACCTGGGCAGGCCCGCTTCGCAAGGAGATGTTTTATGGAACCAAGGCGAAAGTGACGACCATCTGCGACTACCGCAAGATAAGGCTGAGCGTTGCTGCCTAGAACGCCTCGTGTGTGTTTGTGGGGAGGGAACTCATGCCATAGGTCAGAGGATACTGCTCCATTTTTGCTGCAATAAGAGAATGCTGGTGATATCATGATACTGAGGCTGGTGATTCTTCTGCTTCTGTACGATCAATGTGCTGGTGATCGGGCCAGTGAGGCGGCCGTAAGTCCCCTGTAGAGACTGGGAAGCCCATCCTCTGTTGGCTGTGGCGTTTTAGGCATCAAGAGTATGCCAGGGCATTTGGTCGTCAATTGGTCGTGTACGCGAGGGCATTTGGCCGTCGAAGTGTTGCACGTATAGGATTTTATGTGCCCGACTTCAAAGGTGATGGAACATGCGCAGTCTATTTGGGGACTACGCCTTTCCCTCGACTCTGGGTGCGGCATTGCTCGACGCCGGGCACAAGGCCACGGATGACAATGGTGCTTGCAAAGAGACAAACGCCACACGGCGTCCCCACTATGTACTGGGGTAGTCGTTGCCGCCACGTCGACACCTTCGTGCTAAGCTTTGTAGAGCCTAGTGCGAGTTATGTAATCAGCCCTTCTAGCCGAGGCATCTCCACCATGGACCTTTCCAACAACAACCAACGAACAAAGCGGGGTGAGGCGCGAGCAGTTTCCCCACTCTTGGCATGCAGCTGCAGCTCGCATCAGCCTTAGCAAGGCTCGCAAGGGAAGCCACATCAACGGTGAACTGAAGATGAACGTCCAAAGCTACGGTACCAAAGGTCTAATGGGCCGTGAATGCAGCATCGTCATGCATGCAGGGTTTTGAACACTCGTCATGTGATGGACTGAGTTCCAGACCAGCCTGCGCCATCAGACGCGGTGGCGGCGTGCGGGAACAGAACCGAGCATGGTCTGCAGGATGCGGCAGCTGTGAAATGCTGCGCTGGACACAGGGGACTATCTAGTGGACTGTGCACTCCGTATGCGCTGCCACTGCCACTTCCCTTGTCACAGCCTCACTGGGCCTGACCCGCCAATTAGATGAGCCATGCTGACTTTTGCCTGCACCATGACAGTGTTCCGAACATCTTGCCTACATCTTGTATGCTACTCCGTATATCAAGGCGTAATGATTATTGGTTCACAGTCTTCGCCGGCCATGGCTACGTCACGTCTGGAAACGGCATCAGGCGTCGAATTCCAAGAGAGATGCGCTGTGTAACCTGTTTGTTCAATTCTGGTCTTCTTCTACCCGTGCGGCCAGGGATCATTCGTCCCCTCGACCATCCGATACACGTCCCTCGATCGAGGCCACGCTCGATCTGGCACCTGACATGTCCCTGCAAGGCATGGTGGCTGGCAAGGCTCCTTGTCAATCAATATGGAGCAGCAGCGGTACGAATGTCATCGATATCATCACTTACCTCGCGCTGCGACATCAGTAAGTGCCAGTTGACATGTCCCTTGGGAGGAACACAGAGAGCAGAGGTGCAGAACACAAACAAAGTTCAAGACAGTGGTTGTTTACTCTTCCCTGCTATGAGCATTTTGTACGCCATGTTCTCCTAGTGACCCGAACAGAGAGTCCCATCCCATCTGTGCGAGAGTAAAGACTCGTACGGGCCGCAGCATCGGAAGTCCACAGGAAGGGGTGTAGGTACTGTACAGGTAGAGGTTCAAGTTCAATTTGAGTTTGAGGATGGATGCTTCATCTCTAGCTTCTCCTACAATTCTTGTACTCGTCCGGATGGATTCCTTTCTGTGGCTATTTGCTTGGCCGTTCGCCTTCGCATTCTGGTAGGATCTCTGGCTCTGTGGCTCTTCATGGCTCTTCACGATTCAATCGTCCTTCTGTTGGCCAAGCACAGCTGGAAGCATCGGAGCTTGAATCTGCGTCGTCGGTATAATTTACTTGACCAGTAATGGCATCAGTCGCAGCTACCTATTGGATCGAGGAAAGCAACATGCCCCAGCAATGGATTGCCCAGTCGTTCCGCATGCGGCACGTTTATTTCCACTTTCAATCATAAATCATTGTTCCTGGATACATGTACAGGTCATCATATGCAAATCACCTAGCAGCGGCAGTGGCATTCGACTCGGCTGCAGCCGTACCCGCGTCCTAGGCGAACATCGCAGCTTCGCGAAAGATGCTGCAAAGAGTGGAGTTGCAGTGGACGAGGCAAACACCTGACACGTCAACAACACCACCAAATGCCCCACGACTGCGTGATGGCCTGGATTCAGCTCCTGAGAGTCGATTCGGCGTGCGCGTCATGTAGACCGGAGACCTCGCCCGTGCAGCGATCTTGAATTGCCCTCAACAAATTCTAGTTTTGTATCGGGCGAAAGTCCTTATCAAAGAGCAGTTTAAACACCCACCCGTGACGGCCTCGTAGCGCGGGTATCATCTCATAGCTGAATTGGACGGAAAGGCCCGTCCTTTCCAGCAGGGAGTTTCGCTGTTTCGAAAGCCGCCTGTCCGTGCCGGTAAAGTAACACATTTCAGACTCGGGCTTCAAGCCGTCGAAGGTCACGCCGGGGAACTCCGCCGAAGATACGCCGATAGAGCCATCCTCTTGGGCGACGCCACCTACCCAGCGCGAATCGAGGAACTTGTCCAATTCTTGAGGTGATTGCGGTTCTTCGGCCACAAGGGTCTCGAGCGGGCGATAGTCGACCGTCTTCGGCGGCGGGAAGTGGTACCAGATCAGGCAGACGGGGCGGAATTCAACGTCGAATCCAAGTTTGACGGCGACGCAGGGGTTGCGTGATCGCGCGGGGTGCCGAAAGACGACCACGCCGGCCGTGCCGTACGAGCCATCCGGCAGCTCCATGGTCGTGGTCCGGGGATCCCACCTGCGGGCGTAGACGGTCAACTGTTCAGAGCTCTCGAGTTCACGGGGCCACGCGTAACAGGCGCCCAGGTGGAAGCCGTAAAGGCTGCCGGTCCAGTGCCATCCAATCTGTCGGATCAGGAGTTTGCCCGAATGCGGTGATGCTCTGAGAAGTTCCTCTTGCCGCACGTGGGTAGGGACGTTGGTGCCGTAGGTGAGCTGCGCAGATTGTCGTAGCTCAAGTTCGATGAATCGCTCTGGCCTGATGTACTGGATCGAGGCTTTGTCGAGGAAGATTCGTGCGTGTTGTCCTGGACCGGCGTTGACGCCGAGGAAGATACCGACGTGATGCTTGGTGGTCTGATCGTGGCAGAGCAGCAGCGCAAGGTATGTGTTCAACGACCAGATGATGTGCGGGATTTGGATCTCTAACCCCATGTTGGTAAGCGAGTAGGGGCTTGGCCTGTGGTGAGGAATGGGACATGGCACGATATCCCGGCAGTTTCGGAACGCCCAGGGCGATTCGGCTAGAAGCTGCGGTTGCTCAGTCGAGGCTTCCCATGCAAAGATCGACTGATCGTCGGACCGCTTGATGATCTCCTCCTGCAGTCGTACAAAGGCTTTCATGCCTTCGCCGTAGAGCATTGGCATGTTGACGTCAAATATCCCCAGCAGGCTGTAAGCAATGTCCTCTCTCCGCGTAGACTTTCTCCTTGAAGCCCATGACATCCTTTGCGCAATTGAGAAGTCGTGGGGCCTCCTTTCAAGCAACGCGTTCTTGTGGATGCCTGTCGTCTTACTGATCCGCTCCAATAAGGTCGACCTAGTTCCGATGTGTCGCCAGGAGTGTTCGAAGAAGTCGATTTGGCCAGGCGCAATCAATTCCTGGAGAGTCCATGCGCGTTCCCACCACACGCTGCGCTCGAAGTCGTCCCCAACCACGCTTTCACCTGCTGGTAGCTGCACATCTGACAGAAAGGCGTAGCACCTTTCTGAATTCTGGTACCACGCGTACATAGAGTTGATCGCCTCCGATAGCTCCGAGCTGCTATCCTTGTTGATGCAGCAGGTGTCGATCCATATGTATTGGCAGTTATCTTGCCGAGCTTGCTCACAGGCGTTTTGAAGCTTCACATAGCCTTTCATCCGTGGGGCGTTACCACTCCGCATGTCTTCGTACAGCACCTCTTCATCTTCCCATCTGTGCGATAGAATCGCATATTTGGGAATCTTGTCATCATCAAACCACTGCAAATGCCGCGTGATGGCATCGATGAGACGCATGTCGAATGCAGTGACGGCGAATGAATTGGATTCTTGCCCCACGCCGTTCTCCCGAATGCGCTGGACTTCTATCGCTCATTGTGCATTCGACTCAGCTTTAGTGCTACTATCGCATGCCTGCTCGTAGGACACCGGAAAGACCAGCTGAACAGAGTTAGGGTTCTCGGGCTGGAAACTGCTGTTACTTTTGATAAGGTCGAAAGTCAACAGTCAACAGCTGCAAAAGGCAGTTAATCTTTCCACGGCTGTCCAATCAGCGTGCACCAAGTGTACTCGATCGAACCCTTCTCTAGGCAGGCTACCGCGCGCGTGACCTGTGCCTGAAGCTGGGCTGTGAAGGCCAGATCGGGCATTGATAGCGAAAGGTCTAGACGGTACGACTGTTTCCGCGATTGGGGACTCTGTTGACTTCTGGAGGCTCTTCAGCGTGCTGCGAATACAGCTGGAGACTCATTGGCCCAACATTGTTCTAGGTCGCTAGCAATGCTGACTAGACGAGAACCTATATTGGCCGACACTATCCTGGTTGAGTCATCTGAGGGATCGTAGCGCTGAAACGCGCACAAGCGTCGAGTATGGATCTGAAATGCAGGATCTGGAAAGCTGAAGGCAATAATGAAAGTGGATGCTCTCGCTTGGGTTGATAAAGTTACTCCAAAAAACTGATTGTCAATGGAAATGCTGAACTCATAAAAGGGTATATGGGGGGGAAGTTGGCAAAACAGGACGGGAAGAGTTGACAATAGTAGAAGATGAAATTCTTTATTGGTGACCACATAGTCCCGTCTTGCTTAAAGCAGAGTCCGAAATAGATTGTTGATGAGTCAGGCGTCGTTTCTTCGTCATCAAAGTCCAGCGTCGGATCGGTAGAGATACCTGCTGACTGAGCGGTAGCTGGTGCGCAGCAAGATCTGCAAATGACAATGCTTGCTTAGCAGCCTCGCAGGGCGATTATCTCCGTGTTCTCACGGACGCTAGATGCTAACAGCTTGCGAACAAAGAGCTGCTCCCATCCGTGTCCTTGAATCGCAGGTGTTGAATTTGCCAATCCGACTCTCGCATCCGCGACGGGTCAGGTTCATGCGTGGAGGACAGTAATTCGAAGGCTGATGATATAACCGGCCTCGAGCCAGACTAGCCCTGCTTCTCGCTGGCAGGAGTGCAGGTCATGGCGCTCTGCTTGTTGCTGTTAAGCGATACTCCTTATGGCTGACAACAAGGTCGACGCTCTTCCAACGTTGGAGGGTATGACCTGAGTAAAGGTGCAGCTGGCTCTTATTGCGATATCTCGTGCATGCTGACCTAGATTCTTCAAGGGAAGAAGAGAGGAGCAACCGGAGATGAGAGACGGAGCAAAGCAGGCTCACGAGAAATCCCCGTCATCAACCTCCATGGCTCCTATTTGCCGCACACTTGAGGTGTTCTTGTCGAAGACAGCTCTCAAGCCAATCCTGAATTCGGACATGCGCACACCCAAAATCTTCAAGATCGAGGTTTGTCTCGAGTCAAGGGTGTCTCCCTCCTTGCAAACAAGATAACCCTCCTCATCGTCCATTGACTCTTCTGGCCGCTCCTCCAAAGCGACTTTACCCTTGACGAGCCGCGTCGGTACGCCTAGTTTCCGCAGTGTTGGTTCGATCTGGACGGGGAGCGGATCGTCCTCGCCTCCCTCGACATCATACTGTGTATGAATTTCCCCTGGTGGTATTCTGACCTCGCGGGTCGCGGTGCTGCCGCTCCGAGCAAAGTCCAGATTCAGCCAGTCCGCAAAGTATTCCTCCACCTCGGATGGCTCCCGGTCCGTGAAGAGCAGCCCGACTTCACCTTTCACATATGGTCCCAAAGCACTGACACCCGGTACGACTTCCGTCTCTTGTGTCTGTCCCAGTCCAACCATGAGGACTTTATTCTTGCCCATCATTATCCTGGAATCACTGAAGTCTGTTCTGACCTGTTTCAGGAAGTTGTTGCGGGCGTTTTCGACGTCAAAGACCCAAATGTACGAGTATTTCTCGGCGGCATCCTGTGCATTGGCCGCAAGTCGGCGGACGAGCTCTTTGTGGTTTTTGCGGACTTTGGAGGTGGGGACGATGCGATTTCGCTTGGAAGGAGGCATGATTCAAAGCTGAGAGCGTACGCAAGGAAGAAAACAGGGTGACTGCAAAGATACTGGAAGCAGCGGCCGAGTTCGTCAACGCTCAAAAATTATTATTTAGAGTTTTGAGCCACAAGACGTGATTCGACGGCCCAGTTCCCCACCGGATGCCCCTCTTTAACACCGAGATGACGCCGCCTTAGCATCTCAGTCGCGCTTAACCTAAGTTGGAATGCTGCCATTTGTTGTTGATCACCACGACTTTCGTGTCATTCAGATAAATTTCTTACTTTCTGGAGCTATCCTCGTTGTTTACAGGGATAGTGTAGATTATCCCCTGGGGTCTTTTGTGTGTAAGTGCACATTCCATTTCTCCCTCCGGCCCATCTCGTACGAACTTTCCATCCGTAGACAACTTACCCTGTCTATGCGGTCACCATCAGCTACCAGAATACCAACTTCCGATCCGACCGCGCAGAAGCGGAGTTGACGCACTTGTACGTATGTGGTACTGTGAGGGCCAGCGTTTGGTGTCGGAGACAGCTCAAGGTCCACCCAGGACTTAAATCAATGTTTGCATTCCTTCTGTCAGTTTCTGATCGTGCTTCCAACGCCAACCCTGTATCGTGGTCTCTTAGACCGGGAAGCCCGAGTAATACTCCGATATCTCGTCAGCTTCGTGCTTCTTTGACTCGAGGAATCTTGTACTAGGCTCTGACCTTGAAGAGAAGATTTTGATGAACGTCATCGACTCTGAAATTGCGGCGCAAGCGCCATATCTGAAGCTGCGTCATGGACAACCCCCGACGACTGCCGACTCGCCGTATTCTGCACCTTGGCAGGTTAGGCACATCGCCATGGAATCTCCCTCTTGACAAGATTTGATGGAGTCAGCATCACTGTCGCTGCTGGAACTTTACTTGGGACTCGTAGGGCGGGGATATAGTGGATGGTAGATGAGTGAGTTGACAACTGCTGGCCTGTGGATCTTCACAAATTTCTGACCACTTATTTCCAGAGTCTCTCAGACTCCATCCCTCGGGAATCGGTCCTTCGGATTCGGTACGCTGAGCCTCTCATCACCATTGCAGCTCAACCTCTGCGCTGGCGATTTCCCTTTGATTATGATCTTGGGAGTCCAAACGGATCACCGTTTCAGACTGTGAATGTTCCCTGTATGAGGAGGTTTCCGTATCAACCTGATTTTGCCGAGACAACTGAAGCTGTTTCCTGCGCTCTCTAAGTTCCGCTGGTATGTTTGCTCTGTCCTCTTGGCCTTCTGCATCTGTTTGTGGTGGGTTGCAAGCAACGCCCTTTGTTGTGAAGTCGGTAAATGTAAAAGGCTTCTCCGATCACCGGCACGAAGCTGTGATAGTTGGTTGTTGAGGATGTGTTCTTGTTTCACTGCTCTTGTGCTCAGTTGACCGCGGGTATGAGAAGGTGTCTCGGCGACATTCGAGCTTGGCTCGGCATCTGAGTGTGACAAGGGAGTCGCACTCGGGGTAGGTAGTGCTTGGCCCAGTGGAGAAGCTGTGTTGGCCCCGTGTCGGTCTGAACGCTTCGGTGGTCGTGGTTTCCTCAATCTGGCTTGTGATGGAAGATGGCGCTCGTCTGAGAAGCGCATGGCAGAGAGATTTTGGTGTAGATCCTCTTTTGCATCCGACGAAGGGAGTTCGTAATAGTCTCGGAGCTCAGAATCCTCGTCGGTAATGTCATATTTGCAATGCCCCTTCGCCATCATGTGCTGCTGCACCGCTTCGCGAGTACTCCGCTGCGTCCCACAGTAGAGACACTCATACCGGCCGGATATTATGAGGTGGAAATAGGCGAGGAGGGCCCCGACGTCCACCAAGAGATTTGCCGGATCTACATATAACCCATGAGCCCTTGACATGTGGACCAAATTCTGGTCCAGGTCTGGGCTCATCTGGTTGCAGCATAAACATTGCGACTCATCGAAGTCATAGTCATTGTCGGATTGGTAGTCGCTGCTGGGAGGCGACGGATTGGTGACGTCGTCCTCAAGGTTATCGAGTGGCTGTTCTTGAATTGATGCAGCGGCGAAGTTGCTTCGACCCGATACGGGTTCCATAACGGTGAAAGTAGTAATTGTGGTAGTGTTGCCACAAGCAAGCAGCATCAAGGATGGAAATTCGTAGGGTACGAAGACTCAGATTCTGGGAGTAACGGCAGTTGCGTAGGGACGGGAGAGATTCTTCTGGTAGTGAAAGCGAACTGGTGTTGATGGTGGTCTATCCGCTGGGGATATACTGGGTAGGTGGTTTCTGAAGAAGCATCAAAGGCACGCCGTGCGCCCAGAAGGCTAGAATGGCCCATGTGCATTGTACCCCAGTACAAGACTCATAGCGTGAATCAATACCAAATCGGTATCGCTAATAATGTTCCAGTTTCCTAAAACGGCTGGTCACTTTCACTTCGGCATCACTTCCGCTATCAAGTGAACTCGGCCGAACTTTCGACCATCCATTGTGCCCACGAGAGCTGATCTCATACCGTCACTCACCATATTATTCAGGAAGTCGGGGTGGACAATGATACTAGAGTCACGATCAGCATCATACACTTTAAGTCAATATTCTGTCGACCTCTTTCGTCCGCGCTGGTCCTGGATCGATCTGGACCCCATGAGGGCGATCGTCGCTCCGAAAGTACAGCTCGCAATCATGGGGTAGATCTAGTCTACATAGTGCACAGTACTCGTACGAGTACAAGCTACGTAAAAGCGGCCAGGTGGCGTGGTAGCCGCGGTCGTGTTAATATGGCTCTCCTCCTGACTGGTCACTCTGGGCAACTCCGTGCGCCAAGACTTGGGAGGCTAGTCCCAACTGGGAGTACGATTTGTGCGCGTTCCTCACCCTCAAAACAACGCGTTCTCCCACTGCATTCGCTTGTGAAGCTTAGGCCCGAGCCGATTACTCCGTACCATAGCGCTTCCTACCAACCAGGGCAAGCGCCGTGCCTCTTTTATCTCCCTTTACAGTCAGCAGCCTCCGTCATGGAGAACCAGACTCCTCGTCGAGCAGCCTCGCCTACGCAGAATTACCTGATAGCATACAATGCGGTCTGCCTGGCTCTATGGTCGATCGTCACGCTGCGGGCATTCTTTCTCATCCCGACACTATTCGCCCTTGGAAAGCCACATCAGCTCCTCGAAGCCCTCTTTTCCTTCCTCAAATGGACGCAGACGATAGCCCTTCTCGAGATCGTCCACACAGCCGTGGGCCTCGTCCGAGCTAGCCCTGTCACGACGGCCATGCAAGTCGCTTCCCGCATATTGGTCGTGTGGGTGGTTTTGGACATGTTCCCACAAATCGTGTCGGTCACAAACAGCTTGGGCAGATCGGTGCCAGGATCGACCCTAGGTCCAGTTGCCTTTGCGGGAATATTGACAGCTTGGGGAACTACAGAAGTCATCCGCTATGGATTCTTTGTGTGGAAAGCAGCCATCAGTGAGAAAGTCCCCGCTGCTCTCACGTGGCTGCGGTACAACACATTCTTCGTCCTCTATCCCATCGGCATCTCCAGCGAATGTATGCTCATGTACCTGGCGCTTGGACCTGCAGCAAAGCAAGGAAAGCAAGTCGATCTGCTGCTCAAGATCGTTCTTCTCATCTACGTTCCCGGGAGCTACATTCTGTACACGCACATGATGGCCCAGCGACGGAAGGTCTTGAAGGGCAAGGGGAAATCCGCGTAGGACGCGGAAGAAGGTCCTGCAAAGATCAGACTCTCACCACGCAGGCTCCCCTGCCTTAGATGTGCCCAACCAGGACCGCGACTTGACGAGAGTGGTTCAAGTATTACCGCTGAGTTTATGCATTCACTCGGAGCTGTCGGCAATTTGGAAGATTGCGCATCATTTGTCGGGAGGGTTGAGGGCTCGAAGGGATCGCAACCACATGTACATGCAGTTCCAATTCCCGTGGACGCGAGACTTGGAACACGCAAAGTGCTGAATAAGCGGTTCATGGCATCACGACTGGATGTGGACATGCGGGTCCAGATCTCCTCCTGAAAAGAGAGTCTGCAAATCACTCGAATCGATCCTAGGCAGGGTTATTCTGCCACTAGAGACGATCATGCACCGGAGCAATTTCGTCGCTCAGCCCCTGTATAATTAGCATATTGCAGAGACCAAGCAGTGCAACTCACATTGCATCCCAAGACATGCACTGCTCAAATGTGGCGTTTAGTCCATTTAAATCCCAAGCCAAGGCATATACTGTATAACTATTATATTGACCGGAAACTTCGATACCAAGCCAGAGTAATCGAGGTTACCGGGCGGGAAGAGTGCCTCTTGTATATACCGTCCACCACTGTATTGCACTCGTTTATAAAGGATACAGTTTCCGGCCTCGAAGATTCACATCCGCCCCCTTGTCTTATACTAATCGATGATTCTCTCGCGTGTAGGCAGAGTATCTCTATCTCTTGGAGATATCCTCCCTCTTCGCAGATATCCTCTATCTTTCTATTCCTTCTACCATCGAAATCAATCAACCCTTGATACTTACTACAAGTGAACTGAGCAGCCAAAGTCAGGACAACTGACTCTTGACACAGGGGGGAGCCTTCTCTAAGGGAGTTTGCGACTGCTATTGGTTTGGGAGAGCAGAAGAACCGGCGTAGATAGATAAATAAATAGAAAGGAAGGTAGGTAGGCGGGTAGATAGATAGGACGGTCGGTAGGCAGGTAGATAGATAGGACGGTAGGTAGGCGCGTAGATAGATAGAAAGGTAGGCTGGGAAGTGGACCGCGGGCATTCGTGAATCTCATTTCAAAATCCTTGTCTCTATCGGTCGCTTCCTTCTGTCACGTTTAATTCGTCTTCAATGTCTTCTGTTTCTCTGCATCGCGACCACCTCGGGGCCCTTTGACCAGCAAACCCTTCCGCCTCCTGACTCCGTCGACGTATCTCTTCGCCACGTTCTCCCTTTCGCCGTGCACGCCGAGATCCTCCAACTCCTCCTCAGTCTTGGGCACCCAGAAGGGGTCGACGTCATCGAGCATCTCGAAGCCCGTGAATTTGAGCATCGGTTGCGCCAGCCCGCTTGTGCGTTTGCGGATCTCCTCGCTGAAGCCGAACGATTCGGCCACGGGGAGCGTCGCGCTGATGGTGAAGTACGGGGTGCCTTCGAGCAGGGCTTCCGAGAGGATGGAGCCCCGTCGCCGCGTGAGCACCGAATAGACCCGGCCCAGGACTTCGGGCGTGGCTTGGATGGTGCAGCTGTACATGGCGAGCAGGATGCGCGGGGACCAGTCGAGGAAGGCGGAGCGGATGGTCTCCCGCACCGAGGTGATGAGTTCGCCTGTCAGACGACCCGTCTCGGTTGCCGCGGACGAGTCGGCAGATTCTTGGGCCTGGGACTGTTGGGCGATGTCTTCGAGGAAAACAGCCACGCCTTGCATGGGTTCACGGCAGAGGGGGCCTTGAGATGTCGCGAGCTGGAAGGCGTATGCGATGGTGTCGGAGAAGTCTTGTGCCGCGGCGGTGGTGCCGTCCGATTCTGCGCCTTGAGTGCCGCTCTGCGCCCCATTCTCCTTGATCTCATGCTGCTCGAACAAGAACCGCTTGCAGGTATGTTGTCCGGTGGCGTCGATGAACAGATTCGGCCCTACACGTCGAGGGCCGAAGCCGCAGATCCTGGCCACGACTTTCGCCCAGACATCCTTGTCCTCGGTCACTTCGTCGAAGACTTCCTGGAGTTGCTGTCGGAACTGCAGGAGTGAGAGGTTGCTTCTGTGGTCTCCTCCGGTGTCATTGCCTAGGTCAGCCGCCTCGTCTGTCTCCACACCGTCGGCGTCGTTGAGGGTTCCTGATTCGTTCTCTTCCTGGGCCTGCTTTTCAGCATAGAGGCGTCTGATTGACGGGCCATTCTTTATCAGGAACTCCGTCACATTCTGTGGCAGCGGGCGAACTCTTAGCCGCACAGACACCAATTTTGACGCTGTTACGGCAAGCGCGGTACCTCTTGGGAGGTCCTTGTTCTTTGGCGGCTCCATTTCTTCCGCCTTGACGATCGTCTCCCGGTACGGCACAATCGGTTCGCCAGGTTGGATGTCGCATTTTGCATACCGTTCACGCAGATCTTTCAGACATCTTTCAAGGTGCAGTTCTCCAGCAGTCAAGATGACATGTTCACCGCTTTCCATTTGCTCGTAGACAGCGCACGGGTCGCTCTGCTCCAGTAACTTCAAGCCCTTGATCATTTTGTTCAGATCCAGCGGGTTCGTGGGTTCCAGCGCGACTCTCACGATCGGTTGGCTGAGTGATGATATACCGGCCAAGTTGATTGCTCCCTCTACTTGTGAGCATAACGTGCCAGTCTTAAGGATGTGTCCCTCGAGACCCTCAATACCAAACACTACCCCGGCAGGCACTTTTTCGAGCGGTTCCAATGACCGACCCATCAAGAGATAGAGAGCAGTGATCGGCACCTTCTTCGGTTTAGGGGAGGCATGCGGGAACGCCGGATTGAACTTCGGCGGTAGGACGTACACTTCGTCGCCTGCAGAGAGGGTGCCTGAATATAGTCTGGCAAACCCGATCAGGTGCTCCGGGTCTTCTGGCTGTTCTGGTGCGATGCCCTCTTCCGTCTCTTCCCCTATCCTCGTGGTGCTTAACCCATTGGTGACGCTATCCATATCGGCTGTTCCATTTGCTTCGGCCTGTGCTTTTGCTATTTCTGCCCGCTTTTTCCTGGCCAAGTCCCTGGCTTCGTCCGCCGTCAAGGTTGTCCCGAGTTTCCTTCTCTTCGAGGGCAACTCGCTTTCTGGTATGGCTACCATTTTGCTGACGTAGGCAACAACTGGTGCCAAAGGAGATGTATTGAAGTTGATAATTGAGTCTTTGAGGGAATGGTCAATGTTCTTTGAGCTGACCAGATCTTGGATCATCTCGGGAAACCGAGCGGCTTGGGCATTGGGCGGGCTGGGTAAGTATTCGATGACAGAGACGAGCAGAGCGGTGGAGAGTGGCAGCCATGAAGACATGACAGCCTGCAATATAACTTTCGTGTCCCTAGATCTGGTGATGTGAGCGGGAATATTGATAGACAATGACTTTGTTATCTTCTCCAATAATGCAGGGTCGCCACGGTCGCCGTTGATACCCACCGTGGCATCGTAGGCTTGCCAGATGGGTTCCAATACAAGCTGAACGAAGATAGGCTTGAGGTTCCGTCCCTTCAGGTGCTTCTGACCCAGTACCTTCTTGGTCTTGGGATCCAGGTAGAAGTCACCCCAGAGAACGTTCTCAAGCACCGACTTCCGGATACCTAGCTTCTTTTCATATATGCCGGCGAATTGGCGCACAGTGAAAGCCCAGCCGTCTATTGCACTTCCGAAGATGACGTTGTTCTTCTCCGGGGCGAAGTACAGATGTTCATCATCTCGTTCTTCGTACGACTGGTCTATATCCGCCTCAGTCGCAGATTCATTCAAGGCGTCCTGCTTTTGCTGTTCGCGCGCCGCTCTTCTCTGGTCCAGCCTTTCCCTCCACTCGAGATCTTCCTGTGCGCGCTCACCCTGGAAGAAGCCGCCAATGACGGCATTCACACCTTCGAGGACCCTCCCGAGGTGTGAATATGCCTCGGCCGGGGTCATTTTCAGTTCGGTCACGAGCCTGTCGATTTTGTTGATGACGAGTAGTGGTTTCAGTTTTTCTATCCATACCTGCCGTAGCACTGTGACGGTCTGTGAGCACACGCCTTCGACGGCATCCACGAGGACGACTGCAGCATCGCACAGTCTTGAAGCAGTGCTCACTTCTGACGAGAAATCGATGTGGCCTGGGCTGTCGATCAGGTTTATCAAGTATTCCTCCTGTTTCGGCTCTTCGCCGTCCTTTTGCCTTCTCATCATGCTGAAGTACAGGCTTATGGCGCTGCTCTCCATGGTGATTCCTCGTAACTGTTCGTCCGGTCTCGAGTCCAGGTAGCGGATCTTACCCGCCATTTTGGGGGCGATGATGCCGTTCGTGGCAATAAGTGAGTCTGATAACGACGTTTTTCCATGGTCAACATGCGCCAGAATGCAAATGTTGCGGATGTTTTCTGCCTTGGATTGCAGCGCAACCAAGCGCGACGGGGGAATTGCGGGCATGTTTGTGCAACTTCACTCAGTAGGACCGGGAAGAAAAATCACCAGCCTCCGCCGTCGCTTCGTGGAGGTGCGAGAGGACTTCTAGCAGGGCGCAGCCAGATCTAGACGAGCTCACAAGGCTTATATTCAGGACCGTGGGGTCGAAGTAACAAAAATTCGGGGTGACTCGAATGACGCAGCGACGCAGCCTTGTCCTAGTACAGCCTTGCAGCCTCGCAGCCTTGCGTAGGAAGGGGCTGTTGCTTAGTACAGACCAGCAGCACTATCTCGTCCTAAATATTCGTGGCAAGAAGTAATCGGTGTGGCCCGCAACATGTGATCGATTAGACTGCATCAAGTATGCTGCTCACAGGATGAGCCATTAATAGACTCCCCTCAATAGCTTTATTATCTAAGGGCGTCCATATATGCATGCCGGTAAACATGAGACTGCGTCCTCGGCTGCGACTCCGGCTGGATCCCAAGGCAGATGCTTTCTAGCCATGTCTGCAAGGCGATCCTGGCTGTCTCAAGACTATAATACCTCGGCCTTCAAAATCATCTCCTTCTTCAAGTTACTCCTAACCTTGAATCTGACGGGAAAGGGCCTCGGCCCGAAAAGCCTGATCGGGGCATAATTCCATAGATCATACTTAACCTCCTGCCCGGTGCTCGCGTCAACGGCGGGGTGTACGTCAAATGCCCAGAGGAGTCGCGCGGTTAGGATGAGAAGGGAGTTCTCTGCGAGATTGTAGCCTGCGCACACGCGCCTTCCGGCACCAAAAGACCAATGGTCTCGAAGACGAAGGTCACTGGTGTGTATGCATTCACCGGCCGTCAAGTCATTAGAAGGGTGGTTAAGATAACGGTCGGGGTTGAACCGATGCGGGTCTGGGAACAGATTCGGGTCGTAATGTAATGCCCTGCTGGTTGTCAGTACCTCATTTCTCGGCAAAGGCTGTGTCGCTCCTTGGCGATGAGAATAGGGGATCCTTGACTCACCATTGATTTATGACCACAGTCGAACCCGCGGGGATAAAGTAGTCCTTGTACACGACATCGCCCTGGGCAGAGTCAGATGGCAGAGTGAAGAAGCGAGCTGACGAATATTACCGTGGTATCATGACGGATATGGTCGTTTGAGACACTCCGCCATCGAAGGACTTCCTTGACCATGGCTCGAATGTATGGCAGATTCGGAATATCTGCGAATTGTGGCATTCTGTCGCCGACAACAGCGTCCAGTTCTTTGTGGGCTTTCGTCACCACCTCCGGGAAAGCCACTAGACCTAAGATGAGACTGTTCATCGAGAGCTGGGTGGTGTCTGCAATATGCGCCGCAGTCAGTGAAACACCTGTAAAAAGATGGCAAAAGTCACCTACCGCTGCCGGCTTCGATCATACTGCCCGCAACATATGCGGCCTGCAGCTCGGAGATTCCCATTGCTAGATAGTCTTCTTCCATGAACTTCTCGGCGAAGCAACCAGTGCGGACGCCGGCGTCGAGCCGTTTCTTGAGGTCCTTCCACAGCCCCATCCAAAGATTCGCTTCGAATTGGTGGCACGGTTCGTACTTTCTGCGCCACCACTGGAGTGACTTTGGCAGTTTGGCCAATATAGGATACTGATCGACCAGAAACCTGCTGCCGACCACCTTCCCAAACACGCTGGTCTCTTGGTAGATCGCTTTCAAGACAGGGTCGTCAAGGTTCAGGACACGGCGTCCGTAGATCGAGTACATGATGACACTAGAGGTGTATCGTTTCACATGGTCGAGAAAGTTGTCCGGGTCGTTGAGGATGTCGTATAGGTAGTGATGAGACTCCAGACTCTGTGACGGTTTCATCACGTCCGCGGCCTTGACGCTTAGGCAGCGGTGGGCTATGGCTCGGATGGAACGCCACTGTTTACCATATGGCTGTGACGGTAGTTAGCGGTTATTCCAGTTACGAGGTGAAGTCGGGGTGGTCATGCCATAAAGAGCATGCGGTAACCACCAGAAAGGACATCCATGGCCACTCGCATACGGGGTCTGCTCGAGGTGAGGGCGCCATTTCTGTCAAAGACTTCCTGCATGAAGAAGGGAGACAGGGTCAGCAAGCTAGACGGACAAGTGCTCTCTGCGGCAAAACAACCCACTTTCACGGCTTCTGGCGAGCTGAGGACAACCCAGCGCTCGACACCGAGCCTGATCTCATAGATTTCGCCATACTCTTGTGCCCATTTGACAAGCTGACTCTGACTCGGATTACTCGTGGCATTTCCGGACCATATATGGCTGTGGCCACTGAATAGCCGCGATCCTGGCGGCGACGGTGGGCGGCGGAGGCCTTTTGGTACGGAGGGTCCCCGGACTGAGAGGACAGTCCATATCACCAAAAACAGTGCTGTCAATGAAGCTGTGGCTAACAGAAACGCATAGCCTGGGAAGGCCGCAATGTCTACAGTGACGCTCATTGCATTCTGTGACGATCTATTTTGTCCTTAGCGGATGTCCTTTTTGTTTCGAGTCAGCCAAAGGCAGGTGGCTTCCCGGTGGAGAGGGAGTGGTAATTCCGTAGACGGAGACGAGCAGTGTCATCAGTCATATCTGGTACTTAGAGCACTTTGATCGGAGTCTGCTTCTGTCAGCCACCCAGCCTTCCCCAACCCATACTCGTATGCGATGCTGGCTTCCCCGCGTGCCTCGGACTCTCCCACCCACCCCACATTTCGGCTGTCTTTATGATGGGGTCTTTGGAAGGAACCTTATTGTATGTGGAGTAAGGCATGGAGACGAAGTCACGGTGCTGACCGATGGGGACCATGTCAAGGTCAACCGTACGGCAGGCTACGTTGAAAAGAGGCACTACCTTCAAGGTTTGAATACACCGAAGTGCTCTAGTCGAGTGTGCGCATGTGAATCCCATCATCTCGCCACTCTTGTGCCTCACTTGAGACCAAGCCAGCGATGCTCCACGATCGCATCTGCAGGCTGTGCCACAGCTCTTGACAAACAAGGGGATGTCTCTAGGCGGCAACTGACCGTGTCTTGTGCCAACCGCGCGGTGTTCCTGCTCGGGGTCGGCATCATGGCATGGTCATAACTGACAGGCCCAAATGGCGTCTTACGGTGTTCGAAGGCAGCGCCAATACTGGATACGTGGAGAAGGATGCAGCTTGTCGAAGCGCACGAGCGAAAGTGTTTGAGAATCTAATGAGAAGCAACCCAAACAGGTTAGCGTCAGATTAGTCACCTCGGCCGATAGATTATCCTGTCCCGGGCCCGACGAGGCCCTCAAGATTGCTTCAGTCATCCGTTGACAAGGCCGCGTGTAGCTCAGCAAGAGAATTGGTCGCTTCGAATGGAAGTCGTCATCAGGCCTAACACTGCAGCAACTACACGCATGCATACACATTAGCCAGTATGCATTATGCATGTACGATAACGCCGGACCGAGCAGACCCATGGTTTGGCGTCTGCCTGCAGTAGCCAGGCCCCCAAGCGTCGATCTCTCCCCCAAAAGCTACAGAATCACCGCCTCATCAGGCCCGTATGGAACAGTATACACTTTCTAGAAGCCTTCGCCCTTCGGGGCTATGCACTTTGCATGCTCGGCTCTCGCTGATATTGGGTCCGCGCTAACCCGCTAATGTGGTATGTTGCGATATGCTTTCCTGTTCGGAACCATCGGCGGTCAGGAGCAGTGTTCTTTGTCCTGATAGTAGCTGGTCAGCCAACGCTGGATGTCGCGATACTCAAGATGAGTATAAAACTGCGATACCTCCCAGCACTTTGCAGATTCCCGGATAACGGATCTGAAGCCACATACACAGAAGAACGTGCTCCAAACCTGCCGAAAGCCCTGACTAGTCCAAACACCTTCGACTGTCGCGCGCCAATTGTTACATCCTGTACATACCTTCCCTCTCCCGATTCTGCACCATGGGCCTCATTAAACTCGCAATGCTTGCCGGAGCCGGAATGTACGCAGTAGACAAGTACACGCAATCCCGACGTAAAAGGCATCTCCCTCAAGATTCCAACCACCATACTCGCAACCCACAGCAATACATCGACAATGGCGTCCCCAACCAACATCACTATTATACTGAAGCCAAGCTGGGCGGCCAACAGCAGCAGCAGCAGCAGAAGGTCATTCCTCTGGAGTTCACGCATCGCCGCAACCAGCAACCGCATCGGCAGCAGGGTGCTCAACCTCAATATCTACTGACAAATGATTCCAACGTGCCGGTGCCGGTGCCGTCGTACAGATATGATCTCAATGACGGTTCGTGAGACCGAACCTCGCCGAGAGTCCATACCGGCGCCGCAGACGGCGTTCGCTAAGTCTCAGGGCTCACCACTTCCTCAATCCCATAACTATGGTCAAGGGGCGAGCACAAGGCTTTGTTGAGGCAGATGAGATTGTCTCGGAGTCCGAGCTTGGCGGCACCAAGAACAGGCGCGGCGCAAGTGGAAGTGGAAGCACGGCGTTCTTGGACACGTTGGTGCAAAATTGTGGGTAGTCTGAAGGATGGGAAAGGAAGGGACATGGTGAACAAGTTTTTGAAGTGAAAGGATTGCCGCATCGAATGGGATTGAACAGAATACTCGCATGTGCATTGCAGGCGTTTGCTTCAGACAGTTCCCGTAGCAATTGTTAGATCGCTCCCTGGTTCAGCGGCCCTTCGTTTGAGCAAATATCAATGGAAGAACGTATAAGGCGGTTGGGATTGTGTAGCTTCTACTTCATGCCCCAGATACCCAACGGATCCTCGTTCGTTCCGTGCTCGCCACCCTGATTTCTCTCATGATGGAGCCTCTTGACTCTCCTTGCAAGGAAACCTAGGGATAAAGGTCCAACAATAGTGCATAGAAGAATCGCCCACGTGACGATCAGGTATAACTCAGAAGTCAAGTCGCTGCCGTCTTCTCCATGTGTAGTCGAATCATGGCTTGTGAAGATACCGTTGGTCGCTGCGAGCGCGGAGATGAGGAAGCCTATTTCGCCTCGAGCCACCATTGCGCAGCCGAGGATAGATGCTGGATAAAGAGATCTTGGTTGTGGGAGGGGTCTGTGCAGAAGAGTCTTCTTCTGCTTGGACTTCGGGGCCATGGGTCCTGACGGAGAGGCCACGGCGCGTGGGCCAGTTTTCGGTGATCCAGACGAAAGTGTCGTGAAGCGTACGAGCCATAGTCCGCAACAGAGCTTGCCAATAGCCATCAGTCCTGCGTAAACTAACCCTCGCCAGATTATGGGACCTTGAAACATCTTCGATATTGGAATAGAGAAGCCGATTGAAGCGAAGAAGAAAGGCTTCAATACGCGATCGACGGCTGGAGCATAGTATGTCTTATACATTTCCATGGTGCGACTCTCTGTGTCCAGGTTCCTGCGCAAATCAGCTGGCACGGTCGTGGACTGCGCTTGGTTGTTGGGAGGTGGCCTGAGCCCGCAAGACGACTTGGAGGGCTGTTGCGGCAGCGTTGGGTCTATCTGTGCCGTCGTGTCATCAAACAGCCCTGGGTTGTGACTCGCTGCCTGAGCTGGGGTGGTGGCTCCTTCTCCAGTGCCAGTGGTAATGGTTGTTTTCCCTTCTCTGCCTTCTGCTTCAGTGTGAGCGATGTCACCGGAATGAGAGGCACAGGCCTGAGCGCGAACCTCGTCCACCCACGAAGACATAGCTCCTGCCAGATACGCTGCGAACAAGTTTGATGCGCCCGCATAGCTCGCTGAGGTAACTAAAGCCAACAGAAGGGCTGTCGAGAAAATGAAACGGAGCTGCAATGAGAAGCCTAAGCTGTCAAATCTAGATCTCGTGGCGGCCTGACTTAATGCGGTGGAAGACCGAAGTATCACTGGCTTCAAAAGGACCCTGCAACCGACTGGTAAGACGATGGCAAATGCAAGAGACACAAGAACCGGCCGTATGACTGTTGTGGCAGCAAGGGAAGCGCGGCCGGTCCCTAGACTCGAAATGACCTCAACGAGAGCCAGTCCGACAACATCATCCAGCATAGCAGCACTGGTCAAGACAGTGCCCAACCGGCTAGTGGTGAGACCAGTCGTCTTGAGCAGGCTGAAGGTGGTGCCGAGACTTGTTGAACAAAGAGCAGCACCAGCCGCGAAACTTTGCAGTCTTGTAGCTTTCGAGATGCCCATTAGAGAAAACGACAGTGCCATTGGTACTGCGATGCCGGTCAGCGCCACAGAAATTGACAGCAGCACGGACCTCCCAAGGGATCTGGCCGAGGCTGCAAGACCTCCCTCGAAGACGATCATAATGAGACCCAGGTATCCCAATTGAGTCACTGTTTCTTGGAACGGCTGTGGTAAAATCTTCGCGCCGGGCGCACCCCAGGCCATACCTATGAGAACTTGTCCTACAAGTCCACAATAGAAAACATGGTCGAGGATGAAACCCAGAATGTTCAGGACCAGCAGAAAGGATGACTGTTTCAGGATCGTGACAATATCGGGCTCATGGTATGCCAGAGCGGCATCTGACATGATCGGCGGACAGCAACCTGCTGGGTCACTGACAAACAAGGAGCTCCATGTAGATCAAAGGACAAACGTGAGGGCCAAGTATGATCTGTCTGGCCATGTTAGTGATCTTGTAAGATGCCAGGCCATTGAGGTCTGTTTGTTTGCGTAGCTTGAATGGCAGAGGAAGAGTGATACGCAGCGAGGGAAGGTCAGCCGAGGCCAGCGATGTTATTGGCTCAGTTCCAAAATCGCCAGTCGCAGGCAGAGCAATGAATTTTTGAAAGCGACTCTTTGTACGGCCGTGTGTTTCACGGACATTGTTAGAAGCCGGCATTTACTCCCGTCGTTTCTCTGAAAGGCGGAGGACTCAAGTTGATCGGTGGGGAAGCTCTGCGACGATGTTGTGCGCAAGTGAGTACTATGGCTCAATACGCATGTTCAGAAGAGGACTGACCGTGTACCAGTTTCGGGCGAGGCACCGCAAGTGCCAGTGGCCTCGCGTAAGAGTGGTGCGTGCAGGCCTGAAGATGACACATTCATGGGTTCTCATTGTTTGCAGGGAATATCTATGAAAAGCGGCTCATCGAGGCATATATCAGCGAGAACGGCACAGAACCCACGACCGGAGAGACACTTTCCGTCGAGGACTTGATCGACCTCAAGAGCCCTCATGTCGTTTACCCACGTCCTCCACAGATGACTTCGATACCGGCTATGCTATCATTCTTCCAGAACGAATGGGACGCGCTCGCTCTCCAGACGTACACCCTCCAGCAGAATCTCCATCAAGCCCGTCAAGAGCTTAGTACTGCACTCTACGAGAATGACGCGGCGGTTCGAGTCATTGCTCAACTCACTAAGGAAAGAGATGAAGCTCGAGCTGCATTGGCACAGATTGACATTGGGAGAGGAGCGTCTGCGGCGACGAACGGAGATGCTATGCAAGTGGACAGCGCACCCTTACCGCAACCTATTATCGAGAAGATTGAAACTACACAAGCCAGTTTATCTAAGACTCGACGGAAGCGACCGGTACCGGAGGAATGGGCAACCGCGGATTCCGTTTCGACGTATTCTCCGAAGTCGACGTCAGAACCATTCTTCCCTGGTGGAACTGTGCTTGCTGTACACGAGTCAGGAGACACGGCGCTTGTGGCAGGCGGCAACGGTGCTGGAGGTATTGTTTCGCTTTCAGAAAACAGACTCGTTCACTCTCTCAACCTCGGGAAAGGGTCCGCAACTAGCGGGCTTTGGGCCCGCGACAGAGCAGTTGTCGCAACGTCCACTGGGTTCGTCAAAGTGTTCGAGAAGGATCAAGAACTATCGTCGTTTTCGGCCCATACAGGAAGTGTCACGGCAGTTGCTCTCCACCCAAGTGGTACCATCTTAGCCTCCGTTGGCGAAGACCGATCATATGCTCTTTATGATCTCGAATCCGACAAACAGCTTACCCATGTTCACAGCAATTCAGGTATGTCGAGGCGCGTGTTTTTGGTATCAGTCCGCTTGCTTACACTGTTTAGCCTTGAAATGCGCCCAATTCCACCCAGACGGTCACTTGCTAGCTGCTGGCGGTGTGGATGGCCAGATTAAAATCTTTGAACTCAAATCTGGCGCAGAAGCGGCTACTTTCGAGTTGGGAGGTCCCGTGGAGAGCATTTTCTTCTCCGAGAACGGTATCTGGGTCGCAGGCGTCGTAAAGGGGTCATCGGCGATATCGATATGGGACTTGAGGAAGGCAACCGAAATCGCAGCCATCGATACCGGAAGCACCATCAACGCAATCAGCTGGGACTATACCGGGCAATTTTTGGCTGCCGCCGGCGAGCAGGGAATCACCGTCCAGCATTACGCCAAAGCATCAAAAGAGTGGTCGGAGATCCTGAAGCGAGCGACACCTGCAAACCGGATTGCGTGGGGCAAGGATGCGCAGAGCCTCGTCACTGTCAATGGAGATGGAGTTATCACCACTCTGACTGCAGGCTAGGCGGGACAGGCCAGCAGGATGTATTCAAGCTGTACAATACATTACGAGTTGGTCGTATGGATGGGAAAAGTGGCAGTTTGATACCCCACAGTTGAGTTCGGGCCGGCATCCTGGATTTCTCAGCGGTACTGTAGCTCAAGTGAAATGAGAATGAGGATCGCGTCAGGTGTCTTTGTTTCGTGCCATAGTGAGCGAACAAACAACGGAGTCCATGCCATCAACCAGGTTTTGATATCGTCTGTGGTTTCGTGTTTGTTTACTCCCGACTGTGTGCTCTGTCTTCCGTCGTTCTCGCAGGGGTCCGTCACCTGTCACTCGTGGTTGGGCCGATTTGTCGCCAGGGCCCTAAACGAGCCGACGTGCGATTGGCATTTCAAGTGGCGATGGGCAAGGAATTGAGCGTGCACTGGCCAGTCCGAGAACGTCGCCGCACAACATCATCCCAGCCGAACGGGTGAGCGAGTGGCCATTTTCAGGTGGCTTCTGCCCATTTGCCTTTTTGCCGTCTTGCTCAGCGGGAATCCATCCGCTTCCACTTCCTCTGGCGGTTGATGCCCACTCCTGGCGTGGGTTGTGGTTTGCTAGACGACATCACCAACTGCGCTTGAACTCGACTTCCCACAACTTCACTCCATCTCTTTGTCACCATCCGCGACGCTCTCGCCTCATGAGATCTATCACGACGTTCTGTTAATCTGCCCGCGTCGGCTTCTTGATCATGCCTCAGGCAGGCACTCTTGCCCTGAGCAGCTTCCTCAACTCGGCGGCGGGCTCTTCCAGCAGAAAGGTGTGTTTCTTCATCCTCTCAGCTGATCATTCACCCTCGTCTGTGAAGTCTGTCTCTGGCAATTTCCTAACATTTTTACAGAGATCTCACGCCGAAATCACCCGTTCGCAGAGCCGAAGCCTTAGTCCCGACCACGTCCCCTCCAAGCGCCGCTGCATCGGCCCTCCCACGGTCTTCGACTCTAACCCCAGTCCTCCTGCTTCACGACAGACCTCGCCTAACCACTTCGAACCAAGAGTACGATACGAGGGAGACGGCTACGATTATCGAAGGCCCGCCATGACCACGCGAAGTGGACGGACGACGGTAACGCCGGCCCCGAATGATTTCGTTGACCTTACCGCCGAGGACAGCGATGATGTCTCTATAGTCTCAGAAGATTCGCCATCCCCCGAAATTTTGGGACCACCGTCGATACAACAGTCGAGGCCAGAGCTGCTGGCGATGTGGCGGCAGGCAGCACAGCAACAATCACGAAGGCAGGCCACAGAGCAGTCAGACGGAGGAACGCAGGCTGCAGATAGAGCACACCGACAAGCACAGGCGCGAACAGCCCATTCTCAGCAGCAGACTACACAGCAACAGCCGGACCAACTGCCCCGTGCCCCGCCGTTTGGTCACAGAGGACCAGAACGGACCGTGATAGTTCTTTCAGACGGCGAGGATTCCGACTTAGACTCCGGCACTGACGACTTTACTCCTGAGGAATTCTTTCGAGGCGAGACCGATGGATATGATTCGGAGACGCTTGCGTCAGCTGCTTCACCTCCTTCGATGGCCAGTCCGGAAGTTCAATTTCTCGAGGAGAGACGTGTTCCACAGCCCCAGAGACCGCACCCGCCAGCTGCTGGCCACACCACGTTTGGTCTTCCTCTGGATTTTCTGAGGCGGGGCACAGCACTCATGCTTGGGAACATGCAGAATGTCGTGCGAGGCTACAACGAAGGCTTTTTGGATCGATTAGATGGAGTGCCGCGAAGAAACCAACCAGTCGAAGGAGGTACCCTCAACATCACTATGGATTATGCTCGGCCTGGATTTGCCATGTTTGATCCCTTCGATCGCGGCTCCGAGACACCCCAGGTCGTTCAGGAGCCTTACAAGGCACCTCCAATGGCGAAAGAGGGATTCACAAGGACGTACAAAGAGGAGGACGTCATCCTATGTCCAATGTGTGGTGATGAGCTGGCGATCGGCAAGGGGGATGTCAAACAGCAAGTGTGGGTGGTGAAAGGGTGCGGACATGTGAGTTTTCTCCCTTTGACCTGTAGATTGTGCTCTAACCCAGCTTAGGTCTATTGCGGTGAATGTGCCACCAATCGATCGAAGTCCAAACCGACAAAGAAGGGCAAAGGCAAGGAGAACGAGAAGAAGCTGGAGTCGACGAGATCACAGCCATTCTCGGTCTGCCAGGCCGACAAATGCACCACGAAGGTCGTCAGCAAGACAGCCATGTTTCCCATCTACTTATGATACGGCCATTTGCCCTGAAGTCGAAAGGCCTGGCGTTCGAGTTGTACAGCCTCTCGAATCTGCAACTACGGGATAGACGGTAGGGAATATCAGTAATGAGCATTGACGAACCCAAGGTTACGGCTGAATGCACCTCGCATAGCGTTTGAGATGGACATCGGGAATTGATGCTGGAATCCTCATCTTTGGTTGCTTTCTGTTACATATTATTGTACATAGTTGGGGAGACCCAGAAGGCGAGCAGCATCATTCGTCTCCTGCTCTTCTGTCCCGCTCATTGACTATGAGATCAAGCTTCTAGACGGCTTTAGCTCACTCGACAGACTTTTTCGGGCTTCTTCGGCTCTTCCCAGTCCTTCCCGAACATCACCATAGAGGTCGGTCTTTTGGTTTGTTGGCTGGCTGTGTGACTTGCTGTCTGAATCCACGTGAGATCCCGCTGCCTTCAACCATTGCCTGTCGATGGATCGCCCTCGTTCGACCTGGGCGTGCTCTGAATAGATCTTCTATCGGCCTTCGAGGAGTGCTGATTCCAGGTCTGAGGCCCGGAGAACTGATCGCTTACAAGCCCCGCTCGCTGCTCCATCCAAGCAGAATCTATACCGGCCGTTTCTCCCTCATTGCACCAGATGGACACAGGTAGCCCCTGGATCTCAGATGCAGGCCTTCTCCCCTCCTTTTTTGTGCCTCCCCAGAAGCCGAAGCGGTTAAGACAGCCGCTCTCTCCCTCCCTCCAGTGTATTTGACAGTCAGCTCAGCCACGCCGATTTGTGAAACGGGGTGACGACTTTCAGATCTTCTTGATCCCCCCATGCATAGGACTCCACACGCCGCGAACACTTTCATTCTGCGACACGACCTTCTTGCCCCCGACCCTGACATTCTTCTGGCCCGAGTTGCCGAGCAAAAACTCCATCTTCTCGGCCACCTGTTCTTTGGACAGATTCTTGACGCAAATGGCCTTACTCCGGCCGTTGACGTATTGCGCTTTCAGGACGGGATGGCGGTTGGGGATCGGCGAGATGCGAAACTCCACGCTGGGGTAGCGGTGCGTGAGCGAGGGGAATAACGGCGAGCGAAGCAGAGAGAGAAGCCCCGTCGAGGAGACCCAGTGGTCGCTGTACGTCAGGGAGAGGCGCGTGCACTGGAGGATGTAGGCGCCCAAGCCGTTCTAGATGATGATAGTTCTTGTTAGAGTCTGGGAGTCTCAGATGTTTGCCAACGCGGAAAATGGACTGACCCGTGCGGTAGAGACGGTTTTAACGCCCTGCACACCCATGTTTGGGACGCTGGCAAGGACTTTGATCGTACCGCGGAAGCAGCAGCAGCAATCCGTGACGCGCGTGGTGTGGTATGGTGCAGAGCAGCTGTCTTTAACCGTTCGAACTCGAGATACACAGTACGGAGTTACTCGTATGGTGAAATCGACAAACTTAACGCAAGGCAAGACCAGAGCGTGCAAGGCTCAGACTAACGGATTTGGGCCGGATAGTCACGTGCGTCCTAGACCCAGGGGGACCAATCAGGCCCTAGTACTAGGTTGTGGATCAATTCCTTGGCAACATCGCAATCTCTCGCAAGGCTCAAAAGCGTCTCTCTCTGTCTTTGCTACATCTCTTCTTCCTTTTCTTTTCTCTATTCTAGGTTCGTTCTCTCTCCACGCACATACTGCTCGACGGCGATGCCAGCACAGGGTACTAATTGTCTCTCTGTCAACAGTGCACGGGCTTTATCTGCGCGCGTGAGGCTACAGCCGATGCCAGATTTTTGCTAGTGTAAGTACAGACCGAGACTCGTTCTAGCCAAGTTCAGTTGTTCTTTCGCTGCGTGAACATTCCCCAAAGCTCTGCTCTGATCACACTGCGTACTGGCTGCCTGATTGCCTGACTGGCTGACTGACTTGACTGCTACAGTGAAAACTATACAACTGACCACTCCTTGTGGACTACGGTTCGCTTGGGAATCTTTGGATACCACACATGCGGCGTTTGCTTTTTCATCATCTTCTGCGCTTTAGGCGGAGAGTTGGAGAAGAGGTTTGATCTGCTGGATCATGGTCGTGTGGAGTGCCTACCTAGGTACTGTAGGTATGCTTGTTCTCGACTCAGATGAGTATGTAAGGTTCTATGTGTCATGAGGAACGACTTGAAGTGAGATGAATATGAGCCACGGAGTCCAATGGTCAAAAATGAGTCAAGTATAATCAAGTGAGCGCAGGCTGAGGTCTGCCCGAGGGTGAGACCGTTTAAGTGGACATGCATGTTGGTGGCTATCTAGGATCGTCGACAACTACAGGTACCTGCCTGAGTGGCACGAAACACGAAACACGATGCACGTATACAGTCTCGCTCGCTCCTCGCTCATTTACTGGGCTGTTCGAGTTCGTCAGTAGATCACTTGCTCAGCTGCACGCACGAGACTCTCGTCTCCACGTCTTCCATCCGTCCTGTGTAGTCAGTGTTCCCACCAACGAAGGGGATGGAGAGAACAGATACGAGTCCGACCAGTCAGTCAATCTTCGCACTTGAAGCTGGTTGAGTTGAGTTGAGTTGAGGTCCTCTCGCTTAGGCCCCTTCGGGTCCCGCGATTGCACGTACAGACGACCTCGAAGATCTGACGGAGCAGTGAGGACGGAGCAGTGAGGACGGAGCAGTGAGGACGGAGCAGTGAGGACGAGTGGCAATTCGTGCGTCTGGCAATTTCTCGCCTCTTCTACTGCAGTCGACGTGATCTATGTACTGTATGTACTCTCACTGGCGTAGGACATTACAGTTCACACGACGGGAAACAGATGGCTCAGAGGTTCGGTCCAGAAGACGTTGAGATATACGACAATGACCGTGCTTGTATGAAGCGTGGTTGCAATGTGACCGGAGACGCTCGACATCAATGAGCGTCCTATGGACAGTGGAATTTTCTTCTTTTCGGCGCAAGCACTCCCAGTTCATTATCGTTGATCGTTCGGCATCAACCATACATGCCGAACATAGTGCGGAATTTTTGCTGATTCTCTGACAAGACACCAAGATCAACACAGCCCATCCTCGGGGGAAATTTGCTCATCGTCAAGTCAAGTCTCAAGCCATCGTTCTGCAAATCCGCCCCGGACTCTGCCCAATAGCGCCCTCTATCCCGACGTCGCTCTTCACCTCCCATCCATCCCCATGTCCTACGCACGGCACACACCAAAACACGCCCTCCGGGTCCCATTCCCGCTTCAAGCTCAACAGCCTGGGATAATTCTCGCCCCAGAAGGTCTCCTGCCAGTTCGGTTCCGTGGGGTCTGCTTCGTTGATATACGCCCCCGTATCGGGCGCGAGGTCGCTCAGTGCTTGTGTTTCAACCTCGCGGAGGTGCGTCGTGGTCTCGTGTTTGGCCGTCTCGTTGAGATACGGCCACGTCCGAGGCAGGACGATGTGCGTGTAGACATCCTTCCGCCAGGCCGGGAGGACGGCATTGCCACCACCTGGGATGCCGTTCTTGACGTCCTTGACGCTCTGCCCAGCGATCAGGTGGCCGAGGATGACGGACTGCGGGTTGGTGTTTGCTTGCTTGAACAGCCTTTTCACCTTGGCCGGGTCAGATTTTAGGGCTTTGCGGTCAAGGAGACGAGAACCAAGGCGGACTTCCGTGCCAACGTCCTGGGGCGTGCTAATTAGAAGCCACGCTTTGGTATAGTCCGGGAGCGTGAGAGTCTCGTTCATCATCCATACTGGGTCATCCCAGCCGAGGGTGTTGTTCCTGAATGTGTTTTCCAACGGTGTGAAAATCCGGTTGGTCTGCTGGACGGTCTTGTTGGGCAGGATCCACCCGCCGGCGAGCATGCCCTGCCGCGCCGGGTCAGGTTGCCCGAGGCTGTTGTTTGGTGTCATGTAGTAGTAACCCATGGCGCCGGCGTCGGAGAGCTCGGGCAGCTGGCTGTGGAAGTACGCAAGCAACGACCAGAATGTATCGGTGTTGGCGGTCGTGTTGTAGCTGAAGCTGTACACTGTGATTGGGAATGTGGGATATGCGCGGAATGTGACGCTCAGGAGAACCGCAAAGGTAGAGCCACCACCCTAGATGTCAATAAGTGACTTGTTCGGAAAAAGCAGGCCGGGGCGCACTCACGCCTCTCATGGCCCAGAATAAGCCCGGGTATGAATCCTCGTTGATGGTCAGGCGCGTTCCATTGGCGGTCACGACATCCATCTCGAGGACTTGGTCGGCTCCCAGACCGTACACGCTGCTGATGGGAGAATGGCCACCAGCCGTGACCCAACCGCCGATGCCGACATTTGGATCGGCGCCTCCCACGATCGATAGGTTATATGCCGATACAGCTTGATAGATTTCGCCGAAGCGCATACCGGCGGCGATCTTGACGGAGGCCACTCCGCCGTAACGTTTCGCTAGGGAGTCGCCCATGGTAACGTTAACACCGCGCAGGCTGTGTGTCCAGATCGAGAGAGCACCTGGGCCGGAAGAGCTACCACGTTGGTTCAGCGATGTGGCTTTGGGAGTGGAAGGTCTGTGCTCACCGTCCTAGGAAGTCATGACCCGTTCCCTTGATAATCAGCCTCACACCAGTCCTGTGAGCAAACCTCACAGCAGCTTGAACGTCCGCTGCAACGGTGGCATTCACGACATACGCAGGCAGAGATGCTGAAGAGCACGGTGCTCTCGGATCAGGCAGGCATGAATCGTCGTTGTAATCAGCAGTGAAGGGGTCGTTTGCGTGGAACGATGAGTTGCCCCATTGACCCAAGAGCTCTGTGCATGCTGCGGTGCTGTGTACTGAACTGTTGGTTTGGCATACTAAGCCCGGTGGAACGGGTGCGATGAGACGACCTGAGACGGAGCTGTTCAAGGCCTCCCAGTCTGAAATAGAGGGCCAGTCTGCAGAGCCAGGGATGGGCTTGCAGTATTGCTGGGGAGCGGCGTATATAAGTCCTAAGAATGAAAAGGTAAAACAAAGACCAGTGAGGCCAACGTTGCAAAGCATGATGCGAGATTACGAGTAGCGGCGACTTACTTTGGTCAGTAACTGGGGTCAGCGAACACCGGGCTTGAGCAACGACGAGCGTCAGTGGGATATATAGTATCCCAGGCGGTCGCATTCTTGAGAGCTCAAAGACGTGGTATGAGAGGCATCAATACTCCAGAAATAGATGATGACAGTAATTGGCCGCTGTCTTTCGCTTCGATCGTATCTTCCTATCGAGCCATTCCCAATCAGGGGTATTCTGCGGAGAGTGATATACAAGAGCTTCAATGCTGATCCGGAAAGATGCCATGTCTGCCGAGGATGACAAGGCATTCACAAGGCTGTTTCCAAGTCTCGCGGCAGATGAGAGGGCCAGTGTGAGTTGCGGAAATACGAATACGCCACCTTGGGGAAATCGGAGATGGCGAATCATCCCAAAACGCTGGAGCCTGTGATGATCTCTTCGCAGTCGGCGGTGTATGGTGTCATCATGCTGCGTTCGTTTTGTCGATAGAAGCTGATGAATACTGCGATTGACATAGTTCGAGTATCGGCATGGCGACGTGATTTTGGTTCAGTATCAGCCTTACAAGGCACCATTCTCGAGCCGGAGATGCTCCGATGAGAGACCAGTGGCATGCTTGCTAGGCCGATGACCAACTAGGCCTCAAAAAGTGCTTATTGCTTGCTTCCTGGCCTCCAAGAAAGCTCCCCTTGTTTGCTGTGGATAGAAGACCACCGGCTCAAGCTGCTTTAACCCGATCGTCTGCTGCATGCTCGTCTAGGTTCGGTACCAACACCAAGCTACTCTGACTGGTTCATACACGAAGAGCTCATGGCGAATCAGCGACGGAGTCCTCGGTGCCTCATGTAAAGACAGAAACAAGGTCGGCTCAAAGCCGCGGGTATGGGGACATTATCGAGACAGGTTCAGCTTCGGGCGTTCGAAGGAGAATCTTGCTGCTCTTGTTGAAATTCCCGTGGAGCTCCTGTTTCTGAACGAATATCGAACTTCAGGTGTACTTCAAGCATGTTGAATGGGGTACAAATCGAGACACCGCAACATTTACTCAACCCCGGGTAGGGTGACATGCTCCTCCAGCAACTTTATGTAGACCGGATGACCAACGCATCGCATTGTGCCACGATGATGGTAAATGCGACGTGTCCCCTCGGTGGGTATGGTAGCCCAAGCTTTGCGCAGCAACGGCGTCGTTCAGCTCTTTGAAGAGTGAGAGTATTGTTCATCGTCCAGAGCAAAGACGACTTTTGGGTCCTGTACCTCATCGCCTACCGTATGTGTCAGGGAGTATCTAGATGTCAACATTCCGCACGCTGGACGCTGAGTCTCACATCGTCGAATAACCAGGCCTGTAATGGCGTCCTGTGATATCAGCTGCTCAGGTTCAGCCACTCCGTGGTGCCTGGTTGTTAGCCGTGGTGACGATCAGGGCTCACTTTGAGTTATCAGCCATTCGAATTCTGCCACAATGGATCTACCTGTACCACTATTACCCTGATCAAAACACGTTTTGGGTAATACGTATTCGGCGAGGTATGCATGCCGAGAATATCGGGCTACCGTCAACTTAATGGCGATTTCTCAGACGCGTTCGAGTTGGGACAGTCTCACTAGGCGGCGGTGTGCTCGAGATTCCTTTGTGCCTTGCTGAGCCTGTACTCGTTAGAGAACGGGAGAAAGCACGCTGGCTGTTCCTCATCGAGAGTTCTGGTTCGAGAGTCCTTTGACTCAGAGATCTCGCTGCCTGCCAGTGAACGCAGCAAGCATTGCATCGGTCACAGCCTGGTGAAAATGATTTGATCGCTGCGTGACGGACGGCACTAAACTGCTTTTGGTCTTCGGTGAAGCAGTCGAGCAGCTTAGGGAGAAGTTCAGCGCATTCCCAAAACCATGCCAGGCAGTTCGTCCATCGCTCCCACAGGCAACGCGCAGTGACCCTCGAGTCAGTCTCGTCGTTGAAATCTCTTAGCTTCTGTACTTTTATCCTTTCGTTTCCACTTGTACGTTGATGACCATTGTACACCTGATCGAAGGAGCCCGCCTCAGCATCGCGTCAAGATGACTGACAAACTCCCCCCGAATCTCCTTGCCCTGTTCCAGCCTCGACCGCCTCTGCGCTACATCCCTCCGCAGGATTCCGCTCCAGAAGAAAGAGCTGTCAAGAAGTCGCAGCTTTCCGGAATCGCAGCCTTCCTGCCTCAGCTCGACGACTACAAGGAGAACGATGTCTACAAGCCCACCGAGTCCTGGCTGCAAAAGCGTGATCGCAAAAGATATGAGAAGAAACTGCGCCAGGCAGAGATAGAAAAGCCAGATTTTCAGGCCTACAGACCAAATGAAGACCCCAAAATCAAAGGTGACGCTGTTAAGACTCTGTTCGTCAGCCGCCTCAGCTACGAGGTCAAAGAAGCCGATCTCGAACGTGAATTTGGCAGATTTGGTCCCATGGAGCGAATCAGAATCGTCAAGGATGAGACGACTCCCAAACCCAAGAAGCCGCACAAAGGCTATGCCTTCATCGTCTATGAACGAGAAAAGGATATGCGAGGTACTTTCTTCTACGCAAGCCCTTCTGCCCTTGACCCCTTCACCCATCACCCTGACGACATGGTAAGACGCAATGAGACTGACCCGGGATATCCTTATCTCTCTACAGCCGCATACAAAGAAACAGATGGCCTGCGCATCAAGGACCGAAAAGTCGTCGTGGATGTGGAACGTGGTCGCATGGTCCCTGGATGGCGACCTAAAAGATTCGGCGGCGGCCTGGGTGGAAGAGGATATACCAAGCAAGCTCCTGCAAGACCTACGTATGGCGCACCCCAAGGTGGATATGGGGATGGCTTCAGAGGTGGCTTCGGAGGTCGTGGTGGGTTCCGCGGCGGATTCCGTGGCGACTTCCGTGGCGACCGTGGAGGTTTTGGTGGCAGAGGTGGTGTGGGCTATCAAGGAAGAGGTGGTTTCGGTGGACGCGGCGGATATCAAAGCGGACCTCCACCGCCCAACGCACCCAGCGGCCCCGGTGGAAGAAGCGGCTATGGCGGAGGCTATGAGGACCGACGAAACGGATACGGAGGCCGAGGGGCCACTGGAAGTAACAACGACCCTCTCGGCAGCCGCGACAGAGGATATGAAAACCGAGACCGAGACCGAGATCGAGATCGAGATCGAGACCAGAACCGTGACCGATATGGTGGCGGCAGGCGCGATGATGACTATGGCTCCAGAAAACGGCACCACGAGAACGACGGGTACGATGACCCCAGACAACGCCGGAGGTATTAAACACGCTCACTCCATCTCGTGTGTCACGCCCGGCATCTTCTTCAACTCACGGTTGGTTGGGTGGGTATCCTGTTCACTGTACCATAAGTTTCTCGACTTTGCGACATGCCTCCTATTCTCCACGCCCGATGGCATGGTAAGAAGCCACTGATTGCTCGACTTTGCTCAAGTCCAAAAGTGATTGCGAAAGACCAAAGGTTTGAGCCTCAGCGGAGATTGATTTTTCGATCCGCGACCGCCATTGATGAAGTATTCGGACAGTCTCCCGCCTACGCTGCCATATGGGTCTCAATATGTTGGGATCCGAAAAACCTGGGGCACGCCGCGTCTCCGATTGAGACCGCAAAGGCTCGACAAAGTTCATGTGCCCATTGAAGTCGGGCGCTGCGTTGCGGTCGTTTCTCGAATTGTCTTATTAAAACAGCTCCTGGCTGCGGTGAGGCCCGGTAAGAAAAGACCTTGATGTATCATAATTCCCATAAATGCATTAGCAGTCGTGCAGTTTCGAATTTGGGTTTCGCTCTGCCTCCATGGCATTCCAAGTCGCTCAAAAGGGTTCTGTCTCGGGTCCACGTACATCGAGCCTCACAGGTGATCCACGCAGTGACAACTGGGACACGGCATCCAAGGCTCAAATGGACACTATTTGGGGTCACGAAATGCGACGGCCAGATGAACCCGCCGATAACCGCATCACCTTGCGATGGGACAGACGATGGCGCTGGTCTTGGCACCTTGAGTAATTGAGGCTGAACGTGTGAGTACGTGGTGAAGGAAGGCGCAACAACTGACGTCAGCGATGCTCACCGCGTTGGGGCGTCGTGTGAGAGGCCGTTCTCCACGCACTCTGACTGGCCCACAGCCACTTAACCCCTAAGTGCTTAGTTAAGCAAATTTTCGCGGCAGAAATTTCAGGCCTGTGAGTGGCCACGGCGCTGATGACAAACAGAAACCCGCTAAGAGCAGCTCTTAACGCGCCCTTGATGTCGATTGACACATGGCTTCCGTTAACGACAACCGTACACGCCTTGTTGCATTCTCCTGCCTAAGGGCGCGCTCAACGCCTGGGCTGATTGGTGAGCGCGGTTGTTGTGGTTTTTCAGTTCCTAGACTTTTGTTGTCATCCAGGAGGCATGGCGTAAAATCATGCGATCCTAAGGGCGTGGCCATGACTGGTGTCTTCCCAGGGTTTCTTATGGGACAATGTTGAGAAATTTTATATTGCTGACCACATGGAGAGGTGGGTATATAAACAGGTGAACCCGTTGCCCCGCGATCAGGTTTTCGTTCAGCATCGAGACAGAAAAAGACTACAAGAAGCATTCGATACTTACATCGAACAAAGACAACACCAATCCCACAATTCGTGCTCTCTCACTCACCAATAACCAACAACCAACAACCAACAACCAAAAAACCACATATACCTTCGCCAAAATGCTCTACGCCGGCTACTATAACCTCTCTCGGGCTGACAACTCAGCACCATCGTCTCGCCGGGTATCCCAAGAATCCACCTCCAGCGAGAAGTCGACCTCGTCCTCATCGTCACAAAAGATCAAGGCCGGTCTCAAGAAGATACTGGAAGAACTCCGACCAACGACAGAGCCCCTGACGCCCGCCGGCATCTATTCGCCCATCATCAAGCAAGAGCAGCTGTCCAGCCGCAAGCAGAGCACTGCCAGCGGCACCTCCTCCCACGTCGAGTTGACGAAAGCATAAGCTACCGGCGGTGGGACAGGTACGAATCTCATAACTTGCATCCAGCCAGCGGTATCACTGTCATTATTGGAGTTTGGGACCTGTTTCTTGCGAGGACATCCTGATTGCACCGGAAGCGATTCATGTTTTGGGGTTTGGACTTGAGATAGGAATATACCTTTGACGACACATACGGGTAATATGAGTAGAGTATGCAGACCTAATCCATCAATGGACTTCTCGTAATTTCCAACGAACTTATCCCATCTTTGTGAGTGATGACGTCGAATGCATGTGAAAATCGGGGTCCTGCGCCTCTGAACCTCGTAAGAGTACAGTCCCTCTACAACGCGCAGGTAAACAATGACATGGGGGCAGCTACAAGTCTCTAAATCCATATGTTCGGCGTTGCATTTCCCCATACTAGCTGAATTACTGGCGAAACAGACGTTGTTGGTTCCACGTAAAGAAGGTCGGCTGAAGCGGCAGCGTCGGCGTTGTAGCAGGGCAGCAAAAGATATCGCGGGCAACCCCCGTCAACGGTTACAGCCTAACAAGCATCCGCAGGCGAGCCCAATTAACAGGCGGTAACAGGCGGCACTAGCCACAAGCACTCGGTGCTTCTGCAGCTTCACCACCTCAAGACACACCACACCATCCACATCTCAACCTCGACGTCTTTTCACACCACCATTATCGCTGCAACCTTCCTGCCGCCACCCGTGACCACGGTACTATAGTCACAAGGCACGCCCCTCTCCCTGCCTCTTCCACCCTTCTTCGTCGTTCTTGCCTCGTCGAGTGCACGGTGCTTTCCGGCGGGCCAAGTCGACGTGCTCGTGGTCGTGCCTGCGGTCTGAGCCTGCTCCGAGTCTGTGTCTGAGCGACGCAATACCACGCGACCTCGAGCTCTCCATCTCTGAGCACAGCGCATCAGAGCTTGGTTTGCATTCTCAGAACTGCATTACAGTCGGCATCAGCATGACCCTCCGATGAGCTCGTCACCTTAATCACGCTTGTCGTTACTGGCTACACCCTCCGCCACAAATACCTGCCCAACGCGGTTCTTTCCAATCAACAGAACCAACACTCACCACTTTTCTCCTCTGGGGCTTGCGGCTCGAGATGGGCAACGTACTCTCAGCATGCTGCAAGAGCTGTGCAGGTTCGTCATGGGAAGACCGCCCATCCCTCGGAACATTTGCTAACTCCGATGCTGCTAGGTCGGTCGAAGGATAACCTCTACGAGCCGGCGCTCGCAGACAGCGAGCGAGAAGCTGTCGCCGATCTTCTACAATACCTCGAGAACGTGCGTGTCGGACGTGCCATGGCTGTGAGGACTGATTCTGACGTGATCACAGCGAGGTGAAACAGATTTCTTTTCGGGCGAACCTCTACGAGCGTTGAGCACACTGGTCTACTCGGACAACGTCGATCTACAACGGAGTGCTAGCCTAACATTTGCCGAAATCACCGAGCGAGGTATGCAAGAAAGAAGTCATGTCGGAATTGGAGGGGCTGACGCGGCCGATAGATGTGAGAGAAGTGGACAGAGACACCCTTGAACCTATCCTCTTTCTCCTCCAGAACCCAGACATTGAGGTGCAACGAGCTGCAAGTGCGGCTTTGGGCAACCTGGCAGTCAATGGTACGTTGGAAACACTGTCATCAGGCGCACGCTGACAGTTTGCAGCGGAGAACAAGGTCGCTATCGTCCAACTCGGCGGACTACCTCCCCTCATCCGGCAGATGATGTCCCCGAACGTCGAGGTCCAATGCAATGCTGTCGGCTGCATTACCAATCTCGCCACACATGAAGACAACAAGGCTAAGATTGCAAGATCGGGAGCGTTGGGACCGCTGACCAGACTGGCCAAGTCCAAGGACATGCGAGTCCAGAGAAATGCCACGGGCGCATTGCTCAACATGACACATTCTGGTAGGAACAGCATCTCGAACGACTGGACCATGTCTGACATTTCCCAGATGATAACAGACAGCAACTTGTCAATGCCGGAGCAATTCCCGTCCTTGTTCAACTTCTTCAGTCGCCAGATATGGACGTTCAATACTACTGCACGACGGCCTTGAGCAACATCGCCGTTGATGCATCCAACAGGAAAAAGCTTGCTCAGACAGAGTCACGGCTTGTCCAGTCTCTGGTGCAACTGATGGATTCTGGTACCCCGAAGGTTCAGTGCCAAGCCGCCCTGGCTCTTCGCAACCTCGCCTCCGACGAGAAATATCAACTGGAGATTGTTCGAGCTAGAGGCTTGCAACCACTTCTTCGCCTCCTGCAATCTTCTTACCTCCCCTTGATACTGTCCGCGGTCGCCTGTATCCGCAACATCTCGATCCATCCACTAAACGAATCACCCATCATCGATGCGGGCTTCCTGAAACCACTGGTCGACCTCCTCGGGTCCACGGAGAATGAGGAGATCCAGTGTCACGCAATCTCGACGTTACGGAATCTCGCCGCCAGTTCGGACCGTAACAAGCAACTTGTCTTGGAGGCCGGAGCTGTGCAGAAATGCAAGGAGCTTGTTCTGCATGTGCCACTCAGCGTACAGTCCGAGATGACAGCCTGCATCGCCGTGCTAGCCCTAAGTGATGAGCTCAAGACGCACCTGCTCAATCTTGGAGTGTTCGATGTTCTGATACCTCTTACGGACTCAGAAAGCATCGAGGTCCAAGGCAACAGCGCCGCCGCGTTAGGCAACCTGTCTTCGAAGGTCGGCGACTATTCCATCTTCGTTCGGGATTGGACGGAACCCAATGGCGGCATCCATGGTTATTTAAAGCGTTTCCTGCAAAGTGGAGACCCCACGTTCCAGCACATTGCAATCTGGACTTTACTTCAGTTGTTGGAGTCTGACGATAAGAAGCTTGTTTCTCTGGTCGCGAAATCCGAGGACATCATCCAGATGGTCAAGACCATCGCGGACAAGCACGTCGAGTCGGATGACGAAGATGGGGAAGACGGTGAAGGTGAGGTCATCGCCCTGGCTCAAAGATCTTTGGAACTGCTTGGAAAAGGTCCCAAGCAAACTTTGGTGGAAGGGTGAAGGAGGAAGACTGATTCTGTTGTACGGTTTGAAATTATCATATACCCCAACTTGCACACACCTTGCAACGAGGCACTGACACGGGCATATGCACATCGGAGGGTCGCATATCACGGTGGGCAGTGGGCATAGCGAGGCGTTTGGGAGCAGGCGCGCGTGCTCGCCCGTGGAAAGCGAGGCACGGGATTAGGCGAATGTTGCGACGGGTGCAACCTGTTCAAGCTATTGTTTGAGAAGCAATTTGGCATGGGGCCTCTTTGTGTCTGCTCTGATAGAAGCAAGCCCAAAAGTAAGCGGGCGGGTTTACGGCCATTTCATTCTAGCCTCGATATGCATTAATGCTACAACTTTGGGAACATTCTTCTATGCATTGTATCTCCTCGGTTGAAAATTCTTTCCGACAGCGCACTGGCGACGCGGGTGCCGGACCTGGATCGAGGGAGTTCCACCTGACACTCTGCCCAAGTGAATGTGCAGAGCGCCAAGTGGAAAGGTCGAGTTAATCTCCCTCCCGTGACGAACACAGCCGGACATTGAACGGTCTTGACCATGGATACTGGAGAGGGTTGGAGTTGTTTGTCGGGGATGGGAGCGAGACTGGGATTAGGGGGGGTTGGGTAGGAGGATGGCCGCCTGTAGCTGGTTATATGAAAAAAAAGGGCATGAAAGTAGGGAAAGTAGGGAAAGTACATAGGTGTGATTAGAATCCAGGGTCCTCAATAGTCACAGGACGTCTCGGTGTCGAGATATTCTCGGTGCCCGTGGGGTTTAACTACCTACGGTAAGTCTGCTGAGTTGGAGGATTCATCCTCGAGTTCTGTGCTTGTGCCTGTGCCATGGTCTGTCCGTGCCTGTGCCATCCATGGTCTGTCTGGTCACTGGCGGATGAAGGGCACGCTGCGGGAGTAGTTTTCAGAGCCGTGCACATGGAATTGTGACTGTGAGTGAGTGGGTTGTATGTTGGGCATGCAGGAGTGCAGAGTGCAGAGTGCAGTGCAATGCCGTGACATGTCTCGGTTGGAGGAGTCCAGATTGATATATCTGACTGTCCGTCCTGGAGATCATACAAGGCTCGCCATGTGAATGGCTGTGGCGGCCCTGACTGCGGCTTCAACTTTGGTCTCTGCCGTTCTGGTCGAAGAAGTCTTGGGCTGGTCGGTTTGATGCCGCAGAAATGAATACGCCCAGATGTATATGGAGCTGGAGTTGTAAACAGCGATAATCGAGGATGAGAATTTCCCGACTGGCGTCCTCTTCTCCGCCTCTCATCCTCGCGGATCTGGTGTCGTGTGATTGTATTGGGCGAGGATTCAGTGGATTCGGCCACCACTTTTGGGCATTGAAAGCATAATAGCCTTCTCAACTTGGCTTCGCCACTTTCCTCGACTCTCCCTTGCCAGTCACAACGTCCCTCATCTCCTTCCAGCTCATCGGCACCATGGCATTCCGGCCTTCACTCGTCGCAACCACAACGCCGAACTCGTTCCCGGCCGTGCTGATGTAATAATTCCGCTCATCGCCCAGGGAAATCACGCTCGCAAGGATGATATCTCCCACGCGGTAGGATGAGGCAACAGTCGTGGTCGCGTCGGAATGCGTGCGGATGTCTTCGCGTCGGAGAATGGCTTGGAACTGCAAGTCGTCGGTAGTGAGTTGAGTGTAAGGGATTATCTCTGTGCTGGTCGTGGAAGAGGAGATGACGGTGAGGATTGAGGCGTTGAGCTCTCGCTGTCGGATGCGGGTTACGCGGCAGAGCACCGTGGAGCCAACTTTGGGTAAGACAACATTGTCCATCGACGTGACTGTGGATGTAGATTGGCGAGGCACTGAGATGGTGGGTTTGCTCTTCTTGTCTGGTGACGACGTTATGAACGTATGACCGAGGATAGAGGCAAGGATGTTGGTTTCGTAGACGTGAGTGCCGGGGCCCGGGACGTGGGTTGATGTATTGGACAAGATCTGGCCAGGGACACATGCCACGGAAGTCATGATGATGTATGGCGTTCACGGCGCGCACCAACTTTCAGACACCAGAATTGTTGTCGTCGAGGCCGTGACCAACTGACCATGTGATCGGAGACACTGGATCGCAGACGGAGGGAGGGTTCCCCTAGCGATAGAACAAGATCCGCAGGGGCAAGACGGTGAAGGATGCAGAAGGTCGAGATACAAGCTTGATGTGGTGGATAGAGGATCACTTCACCTGATCATCTGTTGTGTGTGCACCCAAGTAGCGCCCAGCCGCAAGGAGACGAGGGAGCTACATGTACCAAGAGCATGAGTCTCATACATCGGAGTCTCGGTGCAGGCAGACAAAGTGTGTAGACTCTGGTCAAAGAGGAGTGAATGGAGGTCGAGGTGAGAAATCTCTGTTGACGGGCGCCAACCAATCAGGACGAGGCCTCGCATCGCATTTGCTTTGTCATCCACCACAGCTTCAAACTCCCACAAACAAACACGGCGCATCTTGGACAGACTTGGAAACACCAACCACGAGGCATGAAGAACGCCACATGGCTCTATTCCTGTGTGGTCGAGCACGCCTGTTCCGTTGCAAAATGGGCGGTGTTGCAGCTCATGGCCTCGGCACGCCCACGGTTGCGAACATGCTTGAGACTTCCTCGTATCTCTTTGGCCGCCCGACCAGCAACCCGTTTGAGTACATGGTGATTCTCCTTCCAAACAGTCCACGAATCTGTGTAAGTGGATGCCATGGCGCAGAACAAGCCTGACAAGAAGTTCCTGTGGGTGAACAAAAGTGCGGACGCGGTGTCGCTGTCCTCAAGTGACCGTGCAGAGAAGCTGCGCATATTCCAATTCGTTCAGCAACAGCGTCCACGACCAGTCACCGAGAAGAAAGAGAACAACAGGCGCAAGCGACGTGGTCTGGCACGAATCACTATCCATCCTGGGCCTGCCACTTCTTCAAATCCGGCTGGGATTCGGCGATATCGGCCACTCAGCATCAGGTGAGCTTACGTTCCTGGCTTCTTCGAGTAATGGCCTGCCCCGGAGTTCGCGTGTGGCCGGACAGAGCAGGGATACCGGTGCGCATCCAGCCACGATGCAGGTACTGCGCCCTCTCCGAAGAGCGGTACTGAGTAGGGGAACGGGTCGAGATCGCCATTGCCACCGCTAGACCGAGAAATGATGGTCCTGAGAACGGAAAGCTGTCTGTCGCAGCAAACTGACAGCTTCGTGACTAGGCCAGCTAATGCCACTCACCCGTCGGACTCGAGCCCATCGCAGTCTTCGACTGGCAGTCATCCGCCGCAGCCTACCAACGATGCAGCAGGAGCCGCATCTCGTCGATCCCCCCGTCCGACTGCAGTCGACTGCTCTGCTTGGCTTCGGTGGCGAGGCCAGGGCATCCTCAATACCAACTATATTCCAGGCTCCGGCGTAGATCCATTTGCGGCAGCTCCAATGCCCATGACTAAGAACATCCAAGTTCTCATCAACTACTACTGCGTGATGGTCCTGACCGGGACACATGTCGATAAGACGGAAGTCCTACCGCCTCACCTGCAACCCGCACGCCGGTATGCCAATCTGCGCGACATCGCGCTTGGAGCCATCATGCAGGACAAGGTCGAGTTCACCTCTTTAATGGTCATCATGTCGTCTCGCATGGTCCATTTATCCCGCATAGCACTGACAGGCTTGGCACGACCGGAGTATTACATGCACCTGGCCCTCGCTGCCGTCAGAGAGAGAATGCTGGATTTCCAAGCCAGAGGCGTACCAGGCGATAACATCCTCGTTCACGGCATGCACAGTCTTGCCTTGTCGGACTGGATCTGCCAACGCTTCGAAGCCGCATCGACGCATGTCCGAGCCGTCAAGGTTCTCCTCCCTCTGCTGAACCTGAACGATCCTCTAGACATGCACATCGCGCAAGGCATCTTCAACATCGACCAGATGATCGCCATCGAGACCGGCTGGCTGCCGGAATTTCCACTCACGACTGACCCGGGCCCCTTGGACGAGGCACGCATGTCGCTCATCCGCGAAGACCTCGAGGCCTTCAAGTCCGGTCGACGGGAGCCGGTCATCTATCCGCACAGCCCCGTCCCGAATGCCAGCAGACTGAGCAACGCGATGATGAGCCACCAAGTCGACTTCCTGGCCGACGCGTCCACCAGCATGGACTTCAGCTTGGGATCTGGCTTCGAGCGCGCCCTCGAGGCCGATGTCATTCACCCGGAACTTGCATCCATCCTTTTCGACCTCCTCGACGTGCTCAGCGTGGCCAAATTGGTCTGGCGCACGCCCACCGCGACCCGCGACGACGCAGATTGGATGTGCAAGCGTGCCCGAGCCATCTGCCACCGCCTGCTCGCCGTGCCCATACTGCTTCCATTCCCAGAGACGTCAGCCCACGCAGCCAAGACCGAGGCACTGCGACTTGCGCTCTTACTGATGGTGCTACGCTGCACGAACCGCATGTCATTCCGCGCCGCCCAGCCAAACATGCGTCGCTTACAGCGTGCGTTGTCTCTGCACGGGATTGGGACGAACTGGTCGGCGTCAGCACGGGCACCAGCATCGACGTCGGCGCCATCTGCAGAACACCCAGAGCGACCTCGCAGTTCAGGCCCAGACACAGACACAGACACCGATACATACACGGATACAAATAAAGGGGCAGACCCGTACGACGGGAACGCGCTCCTCCTCTGGATCCTCATGACCGGCCACTTCAGCGCCCAAGGTGAGCCCGAAGAAGAACTCTGGTTCCTCATGCGAGCCGCGTACGTGGCAGAGCGGCACCTTGGCATCAGCGACCTGGACGGACTGAGGAGCGTGATGGGCGAGTACTTGTATTCCAGGACACAGCAGGAGAGAAGTCTCATTGTTGTGAGCTTGCATTTGTCGGGTTCGGGTTCGGGGTCGAGGTCGACTAGAGCACGCGAGTGTATGAGTGTATGAGTGTATGAGTGGAGGTGGGAGTGGGAGTGGTCGTAGTGCGACGGACGATTACTTGCGAGGACGACTAATTAACTACGTACAGTATTTGGGAGAGAGGGCAGCACAAGTCGGATCCGGGTTCTGTGCGGCTACAGTAGCTAAGCTGTTTGTCTGTCTGGCTGGCTGGCTGGCCTTTGTACCGTTTTTGCATATTGTCCATCGTATATTGCACATTGCATATTGTCCATCGTACATTAGTATATCGTCCAGTTTCCTGAATACGCTATCAACCGCAGAGCCAGATCCCAAGGGTCTATTTCTATGTACTGTACACAAGCTCATGCTACTGGACTCCGTAGGCAGGCCGTACCTCGTACACTGAACGGACGGACCGGACCGGACGTACGCAGGGAGGTGTAGCACGAGAAAAACCACCACGGATCAACTGTACTTGACCCACTGTACCTACTGTACCTACAATCTACTTGCTGTACCTACAATCTACTGTACCTCCTCCGCCCCCTCTCCGCCACATCGATTTCCGCTCTGGGCCAACATCTCATCTTGTTGCGGTGGGGGCTCATCACACACGTTAATCTTGCAGCAAATTGCGAAACGCAGTCAGTCAGTAGCAAACGTCTAAAGGTATGTCTGCTGGGACGGTGCCAAAGGCAGGGATTCGATAATTTGAAACAACATAAAGTAGATGCGAAATTTCCCCATATGATAATATGGGCACAGTTCACGCGCTGCATGCTGGGAATATAACTAATTCCTCCGCCGCCTCTCCCTCGCCTTCCTCCTCCTGCTCGGTTTGTCAGTGCTACCTCACTCCTGTCCCAGTCTCACTCTCAAGTGGCCGCGTATGCTCGCTAGGTCCCGCCACAGCTATTCGTTTCTAGATCTTCAGAATAGATCTCCGACCAACGCCATGTCTCCAATCCAGACCTTCACCTTCACCCCTCCAAAAAGTGAGGAACAAGTGATGAACGCATAAGCCCATGGCTTCCAGTCTCTGCCAAATACCTGTCTCTTGGATGCCTTGACACCCTGAAATGTGGGTTGCGTCGGTGTTGAGGGATTATTCACCATTCTCTCTGCAAAAGCCGGCTTTGGTGGATGGGGGTTCATCTCTTGCAAGCGCAGAGACCGGTTCTGCGCCATCCAGCACACCTGGAGCTGTCTCCATCTCGCATTATCCACAAGCCAAGGTCTATGATCCCAGGCTTATCGAGATCTCGCCTTCTCCACCGGGCCATACCATCTGATTCCTTTTGACCCCGACAGAAATGACCCCAACCGCAAATCAAAGGAAAAATTCCCTGGTCCAGATACCCAAAACGAAAGAAGCGCTGAAAGTCGTTGCTGATACATAGCCGCGTCACTAGACAATTTTCGAAGAAGCAGAGAAGAGCTGAATAATGAGAACAGATGATAGCAATCCAGACTATCAGACAGCAAGCAGCACCAATGGCCGCGCACAGACTAACAAGATATATGCATATGTAAGTGGTTCAAGGGTTGATTGGCGCCGTCCGGACAGTGCTGAGGAATATTGTCCAATTTGTGCGACACGGGGAGTGCTAAGAGTATATGGAAGGCATCAAGGTCGTTTCAAACTGATACGGGAAGGTCATTCGGCTTTTAGTGATGTAGGCCAGCTTGCAGGGCATGAGGATCCACGGTGCCGAACGGTGTCATCGGCATGTCCATGTGTTCTCGAGCGTTGTGGAACTCAGACATGTCGTGCATCATCAGCATACCGTTCTCGTCTATACCGGGACTAGGCATGGGTATGTTGAGATTTTGTTTCGAGTACATCTCGCCTAGCATCAGGGTCTCGTCCATCATCCCATGATGACTGAACATATCGGCTGACGCGCTTCTATGCAGTGCTGAGAGAGGGGGAGACTGATCGGCGATGATAGGATCGGCATGGCCCATGTGCGGCATCGGAGACATTGATGTGGGAATCATGTTGGGATCAACCATCGGAGATGGGGACAGGAACGGTCCGTTGAAGGGCTGTGGAGTGCCAAATTCCGAGGCTGGCATCGGAGGCTGAGCCGGATTGGAGGGAAAGAATCCTGGGCTCGCGAATTCCGAGGGCGACGTGGCTGTAGCCGACATGGGCATCTGACGGAAGTCCATGCCATACCCAGCCGAGGTGTCTATTTGCAAGCTTGGTCCCAGGGGATTCTGTACCGGGTGCTGTGGCATGGGCTGATAGAGGTTGTGGTGGTCGGGGGCGAGTTGAGGGGATGGCTGCTGGATATGGAAAGTCGGCATGGGCCCGTGGAGCATTGAGAAGTCAATCGCAATCGGGACAGATCGACTTCTCTGTCGCTTGTGACCAGGATGCATCCGGCCGGGGTGAAGATGGTGGTTGACGCCAAATTGTTCCTGGAACATGCCCACGTGTGGGGGATGAGGCCTGGCGAACTGAGCGTTGGGTTGAGACGCGGGACGAACAATGCCCATGGTCGGCGACACGGGTGCTGAGGCAGGCATCGCGTGGATGTCGAACGGGTTCATTCGGTTCTGGAACGAGTCGAGGGAGACAAGTTTCGCAAGCTGACCGCTCAGCACCTTGGGGTGGCCGCCGAGATGGTGTACCAAGATTTGAGAGGCTTGTTGATCTTCCGTGAAGTCGCCGCATTGGTAGAAGCCACCAGAGTTTGAAGAGTCCATAAAGAAATTTGGCGGTCTGGTCAGCTCAATGACAAGCCCGCCAGGACGCGGTGGAGCTCCCGTTGCCGTCGGGTTCGTGTCGCCGGGCTCCAACTGGATACTCTTGATAAAGGCAAAGGGAAATTCGATCTTGTAGCCTGCAGAATCATTGTTGATGTAGTAGGTGATACACGCCTTGTCAGGGGAATAGAAGATGACCAGATCCATGGCATTCTGGCCTACGCGTCGCCAGGAACCAATGCTCAATGATCGGCAGGTGAAGTGGTGAATGACTGCGAATTGGTTAGAGCCATGTTCATCGCCGGGAATGCGATTGTAACCTACCGACTTTGCCCTGGGCGGTCGGATCCCCGTTCATGAGCATGCCGCCGCTTCCGTACTGTGCCACGGGGCCACCAGGACGAAGTAATTGATGGGGAAATGGTCTGCCAGATTCCATGGCCTGCATGGCCAGCAGCTGCCTCAGGGTTTCGGGGATGTTGTCCAAATCCTCGCCTGTCTCCAGGCTTTTCTTCGCAATCATCTTGATCTTAGCTCGGCGACGGCTACGCACAATGTCAGTCTCCTGCCGTTTGACGATCGGAGCACGTCCTGTCCCTACCTGTTTTGGAACCAGATCTGGACGGACCGTTCGGTCATATTGATCTCCTGCGCGATACGTTCCCGGGTGGCAGCAGTGGGAGTGGGGTTCTTGTTGAACTCCATTTCCAGCGTCACCAGCTGATCTTGCGTCGCCCGCTGTCTCTTCTGGTTCCTCTGTTGTTGCGTCAGGGTGCTCTTTCGAGGTGGACGGCGCGGGGCCGAGCTGGGACCTTGTGTGGAAGAACTCGAGGTCGCCGGCGTGGTCTGGGTGGGTTGGCTGGCGTTTGGTGAAGGAGTGGACTGGACCGAGTCATCGATGTCGAAGTCGTTCGGGTCCGATGACATGGTGTCCGCCGGGTCGTGTTTGATGTCCGGACTATCCATCGTGGGATGTCGTGTCTGTCTGTGGTTTGTAGTATGGAAAGGAGTGGAACGCTCGTTGGCGGTGGGCAAGAATGCGAGGTCTATTCGATGGCTGGACCGTGCAGCGAAATGGAAAAAAGACCTCGTGGCCTGGCGAGTTGGACGTCTCTTGGGATGTTCTACCGTTGAAAGGGGTAAAGACCGTATGGGGTGAATGGAAAGGGCAAACAGCTTAATGAATGTGGTTCGAGGGCCTTGAAGGAGTGAAAGGCACAACTCGAGGGTTGATGCGTGAACAACGAGAAGAAAAGAACGTGATACAGACTGAGAGAAGGATGAGGAGGAACGGCAAAGCGACGGTGAGGATGGAGGAGAATCAGAAGGAAAGAGGAGACGAGCAGGGCAATTAAGGGAGGTAGGCCACGACAAGAGACCCGCGGCGAGGCGGCAAGGTGCTGCGAGAGCGTCAGGAACCACCCAGCGGCGGCTGCTGAGTGGCCCCTCGGGGGCTTTCTGGGCCTCTCGGAGCGAGGAACCACCCAAACCCTCTGGCCTCCACCGATGCAGGTACCGCGAGTCCAGAAAGTCAAAGTTGCGCACAAGCTCCGGCGGTGTTTGGGTGGGCTCGGTGGGCCGCTTCCTCGATCAGCTTAGCGGCCTCACTAAGCCCGAGAGGGCGGCCTCGGCTGCTGGCTGCCCCTATCGCGAACCCCCCAGGCGCGGGAAACAGCTCAGCAGCTATGCCACGGTCAGGCTAGCACTGCTGCCGGAGCCCCAATGATCAACCTTGTTTGCACCGTCGGTCCAGCTGTTGCAAGGCCGGTCCCCTGGAGGAGCCCTGCGACCTAACCCAAACCGTGTCTGACGCGCCCAAACGCCCAGGGATGCACCAGAGGATCAGGTCAAACAACCCATGTCACAACATGGATTCAAGGTGTCGTCTCACCCACCACGCGGGTGCTATTGAAAACTGCGTCAGAGATGCTGATTGGCTTGCAATGGCCATGCTCCCGAGTTTGGGAGGTCACAGAGGAGTTACACACCAAGCAGCCGGCTTCTGTTTGGGAAACTTCCCATGTCGAAGGCGCTCGTGTGTATCGTCCAATGCGGGCACGACTTCAAAGAAAGATAGGCCGTAGCGAAAAAAGAATAGCGCTCCTCGCCAGCCCTCCGCCACATCGGCGTCGTTGCCGCTCTGACTCGTCGCGCGCAATTGTAACCCTGCTGGCGCGCGTCCGAGACACCATGTCAAGCTTACTTGCCATCGACTACTCGTGTGCATGCTTCAGTAGTACACGGAGCATCGGGATGGGCATCATGTTCATGCTGCGGAGCAATGGAAACCTTGCGCCTACGGTGCCCAGTCGAACATCGAGGCTGCTGGGCGGCTAGTTAGTGGCTTCGTGTTGCCCTCGTACAGTACGAGTAGGCAAGGCCGTGAACATGATCTGCTGCATCGACCAGTTCACGAAGATGATCAGAGTTTTCTCGAAACCTCCCTTTGCGGACCTCGTCGGACGTTCCTACATTCGCCGCAGCCTTTAATTCATGAGTCAGTGCACCGTTACGACGGCACCAATGATGCTGCCATCCGAATGCTGTCGATCTTGGAGCTGTCTCGTCCGGAGCGTCCTGAGGTCGGCCATTGGCCCGCTGCAGGGAATCGGTCATCTCTCGAGGTCAGCGTGAGGCGGTTAGTTATTCGCCACAGAATATTCGGCCAAGCTTCTATGCTGATGGTTCGTGGCCGTGTATTGCCATCAAGCAGGGTGCGACGAGCTTTGACCAGTGCTGGCAGGCCGAGCGGTGAAGGGCACTCACTCATGCTCGACGCCGCGAGGATGGGAAGCTCATCTTCTCGCCCGTCGACGACACGCCAGTTGTCTCAGCTTCGGCATTGGAGAGCTTGCTTGGTGCGCCTCAACGTCACCGCCCAGCCAGTCAGACGGCACAGCAGAAGAAAATCGCCGCACCCATCAAATGTCTCACAATCGTGCATGAGAGCATTGCTTTCTGCCCGCGGACCCTCTCAAGTCCCAGTCAGGTATCTTGCGAGTTACTCGGGCCCTGCTGCGACCGGCCAGGAGTCTCGGGAGGGTACATGGTTTGTCGCACATTGCACATGCTGGGCGTGTACTCCGTACAGAACTGTATGAGCCACTTCTCCTGAAGATCCCATCGACCCGGCCATCGGCGATGCCTGCACGACGTGTGAGGAACTACCGTAACTACTGCTGAAACTACGAACTCGGCTCCAGCAGCCGAGTTTGCCACTCCCGTGCTGGCAGCTCTCGTACTCGGAGAATTGGTCCTGTCAAATTTGAACAGATCACCCGATCCTGCCACCATTCCTCTTTGTCATGACTGCGAGGTACACGGTTCGCAGTACGGAGTACACAGTGTTTAGTCGCGCGGTGTATGGTGTGTTTCCATATTCTTGCAACACACATTTTGAAGAGCGTCATGACACTTCACCAAAGCCGCGATAAGGACAGATACGAGTGGCGCCATCACGACTTGCTCAATGAAGTTCGCGCAATTCTTCCGACCGTCTAATTCAGGCAGATCGCCTAACAGGTACCACTTGTACTCGTACTCCGTAGTGGAGGTGAAAGTCCAACTCTCGTCAGTGGTGCCAGCACCCACTGCAGAACACCGAGGTAGGTAGACGTAGAGCTTGCAGACGCGTTGATGTGTTCTCCGTCCAAAGCATGTCGATGTTGACTTTGATGTCGAAATCTAAAGTCTAAGTTCACATCTCAGGACCGACGTCGTGCTGGAGCGCGATCGAGGCGTGTTGTGTGTACGAGTAAACACGGTGTGGTAGCACGTTGGTGACTCGCTCGTTGTGAATCCCTCGAACCTGAAGACGAGCCGATGCCGTCCATCCACTTGTACCGTGGTACTCGTACTCCTGCTCGTGGGTTGCCTGCGTGTCCCTGTCTGTGTTCCTCATTCCTCCTTTTCCAAGCACGACAGGACTGACTCTTGGCACGCCTCACGCAGGACGCACCAACGCAGGTACCCGAGCCACAGTCGCGTTCTGACTGGAGCAAAACTTCCTCGACTAGCGCAGGCACGGAATTCAATGTTGTGGGCAGTGGGTACGGCGGGTCCACGGGCGGGCCAACAACGTGATTTTTGACGTTGACGGCCAGGGATCAGGGATCAAGATCGAATTTCGGGTCAGGACTGACGCCTAAAGCCGCGAACGAGAGTGACAGGCTCGTAAGGAACAGAAACTTTTCTTCCATCCCGGCATGCAGGTGTGGCTTTGCCAGTGTTGAAGTATCTCGGGTTTTGTATGCAGGGTGTGGCGAAATGCTACGCGCACGGGTCCTGCACTGTGCTTGTACACGGTACTTCCTGCGTGACTGTGTATGCGATGGTTTGGCGGACTGCCGAAGAAGAGGCACGAAGAGGCTCCCCTTTTCATTGTCTCACTTCGGCGCACATGGCAGCCCAATCAGGCATCCCGCGCTCATCATACACGCCAGCAGGATCCCGGCAGCATAAAATCCTTCTTGGCTGCAGTATTTGTGGGTATTGAGGCTCAAGGGTTCCATATACTTCCGCCTAAGTTCACAGTGTGTTCATGCCAGCTGCTGTGTACTCGTATATACTCGACGCGATTGTCTATCAACGTATGTCCCAAACTCTGTCTACATACAGTCGCGTTCTGCTGGGTATGCGCGATGTTCGTGTCTCATCCAACTGTCGTCCAAGGGGGATATCGCTCATTGCCCATGCCATCAATGCTAACCAGTCCTAATTCCTGCGCACGGCGCCATATCCTTTGCTGAATAGTTCACCAATATCAATCGATTTTCGCCCCGGAGGAGGCTGTGGGACTTGGGTCATTTCGTGACTCCGATTCGCTGGGTTCTGTTGTCGCTTCGTGCTGGTGCTCGACTTCATGCTAAACCCCGATTCATTCCTCTTCGTCTTCGGTCTTGTTTCCGTCGTCATTCCTCGGGGCTTCTGGAGTAGCTCTTCAACTTGCGCCTCTCGTTCCGCCTGCTCAGCGGTCTCGCGGGCAATTTCCAGGCTCGACTTCTTTGTCCCTCTATCCCATCCTTGCTGCAGCAGCTCAGCAGAGGCTTCTTCGAAGCGCTTGCGCACTTCTCTATCTTGTTCAAACCCCTGGAAAACATCCACATCACTCGGCCAGACAGTGGCTTTGACTGCCTTGATCGTGACCTCGACCAAGCAGACTGCCGCCACAGTCAATATCAAAGTCACCCACCACAAAAGGTTGCGCCCAAATCTATCCAAGAAGGCATGGTTCACGTTGTAGATGGGGCTGAAGGGGTATATGCAGGACAGTATCAGGTTCCACAGCCACCAGCCACCAACTGACAAGAAGATCGCAATGGCGGCCGGCAGGGCTTTGTTGTGCAGCTCGATGAACTGCATCTTGAGCGAGATCACGACGACGCAGACAGAGTAGACCAGGTCCCCAAAGGCGTAGAGCTCTTGATCTTGCGTGAACCATGCCAGGCCGTAAATATTGTGGACCAGAAAGTACACAAGGACAGCCTCGCAAGCACCTAGCGTACACCATCTGACGTAGGCTCGGAAGTTGAAGCCTTGATTCCTCTGGCCGATGTTGTACAGTTCCGGAACTGCTAACAGGGTCGGTGCTGACAGATCTTTCTCAAAGACCCCCATGAAGACCACCGGGAGAGAAGTGAAGAGGGTATTGAACATGGAGAGACTCCATGGTTCGTACAGACTGGTCCCAGTATAACCGTTCCACCGTTGAAACAAGGCTTGGCAGAGGTAGAATAGCATTTCCTTCCAAAAGGTGCCGAGGAGATATTTGCAGATTCGAACATAGTTCCAGCGTCCATGGACCAACAGCAGTTTCAACAAGAAGCGAAATTGCGCAATCGAGTAATCAGAGGTCCGAGCGGCCTGGAGGCCTTCTTTGCCAGCGATGCCGATTCCGAGATGGGCTTCCTGGATCATAGCAATATCGTTCGCGCCGTCACCAATTGCTAAGGTTACGGAGCCCTTGACTTTGGTTCGGATAGTGGCGACGAGCGACGCCTTTTGACTTGGGGAAGCCCGACAACATATCACAGAGTCGGCACGGATGGCAACATCGGTGAAGAGCGCCTTCGCAGCCTCGTCTGCGTCAATGATGGCGAGAGTTTGACCGTCAATGACCAGGACAGAGTGTATCGTCTTCTCATCGCTCATGTGGGCAAATGCGTCGGCCATCCGGCAGTTGAGATCTCCAAGCTCATGATCCAGGACTATAACTGCAGAATAGTGCTTGATAAGTCGACATGAATGGCCAATGTTGATGGCCGTCTCACGTTTGTCGCCAGTAAGCATCCACATCTTGATACCTGCTCTCCGAAACCGCTCAATGGCGTCGGGGACTCCTTTTTGGAGCTTGTCCTCGATTGCAGTGGCTCCTAACAACTCCAGCTTGGTCTCGACAAGCTCTGCTGCACGCTCAATCTTTTCTTGCCGATCTGTGATGCTTGTCGTAGCCGAGAAGTAGATATGCTTCCACTCATTGTATTCATTTTCCGTCAAGTATCGATATGCATACATAAGGGTACGCAAGCCCTCAGTCGCAAAGTCATCAATGTGTTGGAAACATCGTTCGAAGACAGCATGGTCGTCAACTACGAGGCTTTCCTCAACAAGCTCCTCTGTGCCATCCACTTGCATAGACGTACGAGGTGTGATTTGAGGCGAGTGGTGCACCCTCCCGCTGTAGCTCTCGGATTTGCGAGAAAGAAGTTGTAGGGAAGGTCGAGGTGAATAGAATTGAGAACTCTTGCGCTGCTGGGACGTGCTTGCTTCGTGCTCACGATCTTTCAACCAATGGTCAATGCTTTCCCGAGCGCTTCGAGAACGGTCAAAAGACACGCCACTCGGTCGCGGAGAAACGGTGTCAGCTCCGTAGACGGAACCTGATTTCCAGTTCAACTGAGAGCTACGCCTCCTTAACGCCTCTTGCGTCTCAACACTTTTTCGCTGGCTTGCACGTCTTTCCACCGCCTGCACTTCGGTCGCAGCCAGATCTGCCAGGCGTAGAAGTTTCCGGATGGTACTGTCCGCGCCCTTGATAATCAGGCAGATCCGTCTGTCGGGGAGGCGGACCACTATTGACATCCGCTTTCTCGCACTTGAGAATTCGATCACGTCCAGAACCTCGTACGTTTCATAGATCGGAGAAGCCTCATCCCCATCGGCATATGTTTTGACCGTCACACTTTTGGCTTGTCGATCAGTCACAATATATCCCAAGTCTTGGGCTGCCTTTACCAAGGCTAGCTCGTCAGGAGACGCGGCTTGATAAGTCATCTCGCCCTGGTCATCTTTCTCCGGAATACAAGTGTGGCAAAGCGCTAACGACAGCAGGAAGAATCGGGTCTTTCGTGCGAAAACCGTCTGAGGCCGGCGGTAAATGTACTCGAGCATGTCTTGCGTCTTACCGGCTTCTAGCGTCAAGTTGGTGCCATTGGATGGTCTCCAGTTCGCGTCTGCTGCGTCCCGCGTCTGTTGGTCCTCTCCATCATGGATACCAGGCGATGTGGTAGGCTTAAGCAACAGCTTTGAGAAAGGCATCCTTTGCTTCTTCTCGGCGTCAGGCTCTTTCTCTTTGCCGCCTCGCTTCTTGTGTCTTAGCCGCTGCTGTCCAGCCTCATCGGCTGCATCCTCTCGCAGATCAAGGTCATGCAGCCATGCAGTGCCAGCGACGCTCAGCTTTCGAAACTTCATCGAGTTATTGGTAAGTGTCCCTGTCTTGTCGGAGAAGATGTAAGAGACCTGCCCGAGCTCTTCGTTGATGGTCGAAGTGTGTGGTTCCATTGGAGTATCCGACTCCGGGTCGTACATGTCCACATCATTCATCAAGAACATCTGAGAGACCTTGACGATTTCGAGCGACACATACAAGCTCAACGGCAGCATCGTGTTCAGCATGATAATGAAGGAGGTGAAGACTTGGCCGAAGGGCACCCTCGCATCCTGCAGGTACCATGACTTGTTCTCTGTCGTTCGGCGCCAGATCTGATATGCCACAGTCAATATGATGGCCATGAAGAGGACAAGCGACGCAACAAATACGACCACCCTGTTGACCTTGGCCTGCAAAGCCGGTGCCTTTGTACGGGGTGCCTTGTTGGCGTTCATCCTGATCTTACATTCTTCACCCGAGTAAATGACCAGGCCTACCGCGGACGGCGTATTGCGCAGCACGCTGCCACGGTACAGGATTTCGGAATTGGTCAGTGGCAGTGTATTTCCGTTGATTGTTACCCTGCCGTCGAATTTGTAGAGATCGAGGTTGGGATCTTCCACCACAAATTCGGCTGCCAGTCGAGAGATGGATCGTGGATCCTGGCAGGCTTCACTGATGTCGGCCAGGGGCTTCTTTGATTTGAGATTTGTTTCCCCATCAAGGCTTTTTGTTTCCACGTAAGCTGTATCCGTTGGTTCGTTGGCATGTAGAAGTACTAGATCTGCAGGGATGCCGGCGTTCCTGTTCAACAGGACAACATCGCCTACGCGAACATCGCTCCATTTCTTCTCCTGCCACTCAGTGTTGTGGGGACAAGACGGAGTAATTCTGAGAACATGGGCCGTGCGCTCGTTTTCCTCCTTATCCAGACGGTGTCTCCTTATATCGTCGTAGCCTTCCTTGGCCATTGAGATTGCAACAAAGATTAGCAACGGTATGATAGTGGTGTATGTGCCAGTGGTGCTGAGACCAGGTATCATTTGCAGGATAGAGACGCACAGGAAGTAGAAGTTCGCGAGTTTCCCAAACTGAGCCACGAGCTGTTTGGGTACAAAATTCCAGGGCGTGTAGCGACAGGAGCGAATAAGATTGTCGATGTGTGGCTTTCCGGACCTCTCATCGATTGGCAGTTCGTCATCGTGTACATTCACCTTTACGTGCCGCCCATCAACACTCGATGTGATGGCGTTAGCTCGAATAACCTTGTGTTTGAACTGACGGTAGATCTCCTTTAGTGTTTTCAATAAGGTCGTTCGCGAAGACTGCTTCGCCATCCACTGGCGGTAAAGAGGCAGCTCAAGCTTGGAGTCTGATAGTCGCACAGACTCCTGTAGACGACTGGCTGACTCTTCCTGCGACTCTTCGACCGTGACCGTTGTCGGGCGGTAACCACTCTTCTGACTCTCCTCTTTCGATGAGTCCAGCTCGAAGGTCCCCGCATGGTCAGGTATCTGCTTCTGCACGTTCTGAGTGAAAAGCGCGCGTCTCAAGGAATATCCTCGGTTGCGACCAACTGAGGCGGACTTGAGTATGCCGGGCGGCGAATGAACTGGAGCTTTAGATTGTTGTGGCAGAATATCTTGCCCTTGCTGCCTAGGAGATCCAACCGGGAGTTGGAGTCTGGGTGTCTCATTCCTTGAAGAGTCCTGCAAGTTTGGCTCTGCACTTGTACTTTGCTCAGCAACTCGCGCGCCGAAAGCATTTCGTCTCGTGTCTGAGGTTTCCAGCTCGTCGTCCCCATGTTCTTGGCTGTCTGAGACTTTCAGCGAGGCTGGAGCCATGACGGATGAACCGAGCGGATCGTGTAAACCGGCGCGAAGGAGTGTGCACTGAGGAAATCATCGGCGCTGTTCTTCCCGCAGTTTCGGTCTCATTGTCTGAGGAAGACTGCTTTGTGAGGGTGTTAGTCTACTGGAGCGCGGTCCACGAAATGATCCCAAAACTACTCCCTACAGGCATTGAGATTGTGAGGTCAAAGGACGTGTCTCAGATTGCGCAGTCGAATCTTGGAACCACGCAGGAAAAGTGTGTAACAAGGGTGGCAGTGCATTGAACATTGCGCGTTGCAGCGGCGGCGGCGATCTCCAATCGTGGGCGCAATTGCTGCAAATGTGCAACCACCGCCAGTGATGTCACGCACGGACAGCGGTCGCTTGCTGAGCCACTGAGAATCAAGCCCTGAACATCCTGGACTTCTCTCCCCAGGGGTCCTCGTAGCGCTTGCCTAGATGAGCCTAAATTTGGTCCGATGATCAGCCGAGTGGGATGAAATTCGCGAAGTTTGCCATTGTCAGTTCGTGCTGGTGGTGCTGGGTTTTAAAATGCTACCTACCCCAGGAGTACTCGATCTTCAGTGTCAATTGTGTGCGACGAATGCCACCATCCACCAACAGCTCAGCAGGCAAACAGGTAGTGCATTTTGTACTTTCCCACCCTCATTCTCGCTCAGGAACCTCCCACTCATCCCCATATCAACCATCTCTTGTGTATGCAGCGTCGTCCACCCACTTCTGCGCCCTGTGCTGTCGGTCTTTGGCTCGGACGCGTTACCTGTAAGAATAGGAATTCAGCGTTAGAGCTGTCGTTCGCACTGCACACTTGCCTACTATTGCACAGTGCACTGTATGTAATTAGCCATTCCCTATCACGCCCGCCGCCTACTAATATAGAGTCGGTTGGGGTTTATGGTGACCACTCAGAATCTGCCGACAGATTGTCTATGGCACCGACCTGTCTAAGTTGCACGCTAGACGTTGTGAATAAAAGCAATAAGCGTACACCAACGACAATACAGTCTGTAGACTATCCTTGGCCGGGTGTGGGAGACGATGGGCGCGACGACAAGCCTTCGCTATCGTCGTTGATCTACTTGCTTTGCGGACGATTACGCCCCGTTAGGGTGCGATATGAGCTGATGCGCTCGCATCAACACCAACGTCCATCTCACCCATAGATCCACGGCCTGTTCTTGCGAGAGAAGTCAACTTGGGTGGTGCTGGGGACCTCCCTAATTCTGACACATGTATACCTATCCGCATCAGGACCAGTGTGAGGATTTCAGTGCACTGATCTACCCTACTGCAGCGAAACAGACGCGCAGTGTACGGCCTGTTTCCTCCAAACCAGGGCTTAGATCGAGCGGCGACCCTGCGGTAGCCGTTCTCGTCGATGACTTGGACGGTCACTGGTCACACTCGAGGAGGTCGATCGCGGGATTCACGGCATGTTTTTCTGCAGGAGTAGAAGGGCTATGAGCTCAAACCTAGGTTTCCGAAGGAAGTTACGCTGGAAGCGTCTGCTGAGATGACTTTTGTTCTTGATATCTGTAGGCGTCTGTTAGGCCAACTCACGCCTCGGCCGCTCTGATGCAGTCCATGCAGCCTCTATGTACAGGGTAGACTGATCTCCCAGTATCGTAAGCGCCATCGCTCCGGGTAGTTCTGACTTCGCACTCCCCGTTCCCCTCCGGATGGTCTTTGTCATTTCCTTTCTCCTCATCCTTCTGCTCCCCTCGACTTGGCAGCGATCGCCTTTGTCTTTGCCGCAATCCTCGCTCGGCGCCGTTGCGGCCTCTCATACGCCACGATCCTCGGCCCACAAGGCGGCGGATGTGGCACCTGCACGCGTTTCCCGCCTTTCTCCTTGTTCCTGGTGCAGGCAACGATATCACCCATGTATTCATTGCCGGCTCCATCCACAGCATACCAATGGAGATCATTCTCTGGATCTGCACTGACGATCTTGAATCCGGTTCGTAGGGCACCGATTCTCATATGTCGGCCAAAGTCTCCACGGTCGGGGTGTGTATGTGTGCATAGATCGCAGACGTACGCCCAGTCTTTCTGGCGCCATTTGATCGTGACACTGCGGTTGAGGTTAGGCGGGAAGCAGCGTCTACGGGCTGACTGTTGGGCTGGAAATGTTGGCGGCGGCGGGAACGGCAGGGTTGGTTGGGACGGCACGGGCGGCATCGTAGGTGCGTTGGCGAACGAGTAGGGAAGGGCGGGCGTTTGCGTTGGCTGAGGCGGGTGAAGCATCGGTGGCTGCTGTTGCGGCATCGTGGTGTCTTGATCGGCGGCGCTGTTGGCACTGTTACGAATGATAGCGAGGCAATTGTCGGGAATCAACCCAGTCACGTTGTAGCGAGCGTCCAGCACGTTGACAAGGCCTTGCATCGTGAAGTCTTGGCTTGTGTTGAAGAAGCCCTGGAGTAAGTTTCCCAGGGTGTTTCTCAACAATGGATTCATCATTGCCGGCGCATTATATGAGAGGAATTGAAGGACGAAATCGCTCCAGACAGCGTCTTGCGGGGCTTCGACACTTTCGTCGGTTGCAAAAGGGTGATTCATCTTGAGCTTTGACTGTGTGAGTGAAATTGAGAGTGATAATGAAGATGTCACAGTGTGGTTGCAACAAGGAGCGATGCAATCACATGAACCTGCGGTCGGTGATGAATTAGAAGTTGAACGTGGTGAGCGTCGTGACGGTTCCCAACGCTGGCAATCGTAGGCTCGAAGGAAGACAGCACAAGAAAACATACCTTCTAAGACAACCACGCTTGAGGTCCGTCTCTGAATGTTCTTGATCTGAGATTGTCGTGTGATGCAAGATCTTCCATCTGTTGGCCTGTCAATCTGGTTATTGGCGACGTGCTGGATCGACCTCAGGTGTAATTTACCTTTTCACAAAAGAGCAGTGTTCATGCACACACAGTAGACTGCGGACGTATTGTTGATAAGGCTAGTCAATCCTCGAGGAGAGATATTCCTGTCGTGGCTGGTTGTGCTCAGGATTATGATTCCGTGAAGACTGTTTAACAATCATCGATGGTATGATATATCTTGTCGACATTGAGCATCCAGAGAATCGTCACTAAAATCACGTTGAAAGACGTGGTTTGGGAAATATCACTGTAATCTGTCAGCAGAAGTGATTTGAAAAGTGACACACAATGGACAGATGGGCACAGAAGATGTGCGCAGTGGCTATACTCGCGATGTATCGCTTTTGTCCATTCATCTCGCCCTCTCCCCGAACTGAGAATCCTTTCATGAACTCGGCTTCTTATTGTGGACTGACGGCCAGCTGATCCCTCCATAGCCGACATGTCCGCTGCTTCAGGATAATTTGGACCATTACTGATAGCATTGGTGCGCAGCAAAGCCCGATACCCGCAACAGATGATCGATTCACGATATGGGAGTCCTTTTTCCCCAGTATCTCAGAAGAAATAGCATAGGAAAGCGATCAAGATGGTGGTGACGACGAAGACAATCAGGGAAGGACAAGCCGATATAGCCATCTACTGTGAACCATCCAGGACCTCGCAAGGCTTTTGACGTCTTCTGGCACAAATGAACAGACACACACACTAACTCAAACCCAAGCTGCATTTCAACCTCGTCTCAACATGGTGTACCTAATTGAGGCTGAAGAGAACGGTGAGCGTGCCCAGAACGTCGAAGGACGTGAGCCCGAACATTCTTTCCCGCGTGCGGGGAGACGTGACCGCGGCAGGGGACAAACAAAGTGCTATGGTGATATCGTAGTAACCGGTTGCTAGATGATGAGCTCGACAACAGCGATAAATTGTCGTTGAAGTTCTTGCTGAGAATTGCTTGGCCAGCATGTAGTCCTGTCAAATCCCCGTCATTCTATTCTCATGGATCCCACTTCATTAGCATCAGTGCCTCGCTTGCTAATTATACTGCATATTGCAACTGGCCTCTGAAGGCGACTTTTCTTGCTATCCTCATCTTGCTGCCACCAGAGGCCCGGGAGGCATCAGAGTTCTTCTTTCAGACTATCCATCAGTTAATGTGCCGTTGCCCACTCCCTGTACCAAGCCAAGCATTCACTATTGGCAACACTGGCTGAAGTTTTTATATCCATGCCGCTCACGATCTGCTTGACAGCTCCTTCGACCTTCTTGCCATTAGTCGTTACCGGAATCTCCGGACACTCGTCCACGATTTTGGGCACATGTCGTGCACTCAATTCTTTTCTCACCACAGCCTGTATCCTCTGGACCAGCTCCTCTGAAAACCTCTGACCCTGGGCCATCTTGAGGAACAAGAGCACAACCTCATCGGTATCTTGCTTGCGCTTCCTGCCAATGCACAATGCGTCTTCAACTTCGACGCTGAAGTGCTCGAGCAAGATGTTGTAGATCTCACTCGAGCCGAACCGGACTCCCATGGGGTTGAGGACACCGTCAGACCTGCCAAGCATCCAGATCCCGCCAGTCGCAGGATTGAAGCGTACAAAATCGCCGTGGTGCCACACTGCACGGCCGGTGTCCGGGTCGGTAAAGACCTCGAAATATGATGATTTATATCGCTTCTCGCCGCTGGGACCTGGGGGCCAGAACATGCACGGCTGGCAAGGGAAGGGAACAGTGCAGACGAGCTCACCAGGCTCACCAGTCAGAGTTATATCCTTGCCATCTGCGGAAAATGCTTTGATAGCCATGCCGAGCCCGCGGCACTGGATCTCGCCGGCGTGGACGGGGAGAATGGGACAGGGCGCGCCAAAGAGGGATATGATATCTGTACCACCAGTTATCGAGCCAAGCAGGATACCAGGATGAGGCGATAAAGGCGAAATATTCTTGTAGACATATTCGAAAGTGCTAGGTGCAAGAGGCGAACCAGTCGAAAAGATGGACTTCAGAGAATTGAGCGTAGCTCTCTTAGGAGAAGCTTCCCTAGGAAGAATCTGTGCCTGTTCCAGAAGGGACAGATACTTGGCCGAGGTGCCAAAGTGGTTGATTTCTAGCTCGTCAATGAGCAGAGGCATGGTCATCTCTTTATGAGGGTGGAATGGAGAACCATCATAGAGGACAATGGTTGCTCCACTAGCTAGGCCTGATACGAGCCAATGCCACATCATCCAGGTGACGGTGGAGAAGTAGAACACTCTTTCTGAACATCTCACATCGGAGTGAATCTGGTGTTCTTTCTTGTGCTGCAGTAGAGTTCCCAGTGACGCGTGGACAATTGGCTTAGGTGTTCCCGTGGTGCCAGACGAGTAGAGAATATAAACCGGGTGCTCCGGAGGCAGATACGTGAAGCGAAGTGGCTTAGCGGAGTCGCCCTTTGCGACAAAGGAGGAATACGATTCCACCACCGTAGTAGAATGGCTGGTAATGGACGGCATGTCAAACGGGTGACTTGGGATCGTCTCGAAGATAACGAGGTTCTTGACTGATGGCAACTCTGACACGACTTGCGATATCTTCGCATGCGTTTCATGCGTCTTGCCATTGTAGGTTACAGCATTGTCGGCAAAGAGGAGGACTGGCTCAATCTGGCGGAGTCTGTCGAGCACCGCATGAACACCTGTGTCAGGACTGACACCTGACCATATGGCACCTAGAGACGTCGCTGCCAGCATTGCGACCACTGAATTTGAAGTATTGGCCATGTATCCTGCCACTCTCTCCCCCTTCTGTAGCCCATGCGCCTCCATTGCAGCGGCACACTCCCGCACCCGCCGACGGAGCTGCGACCATGTCACCTCTTCGCGCGTGGTCTCTGTGGCGGCAATGATCGCAAGTCCATCTTCGGGCGGGACTGCCGCAGGAAATAGCAGGTTCTCGGCAAAATTCAATTCGCAACCAGAAAAGAAGGTAGGCTTGGGGAACATCGGAGCGGGTTCGTCCAAGACTTTCTGACCAACGGTATTAGCACGCAATTACCTGTTACATCTTGTAACCGGTTACCCACATCATACTGCTTGTGCGCCTTTATGCCCGTGTAATGCCATACTTCCTCCCAGAAGGCCCCGGGGTGGTCGACACTCCATTGCCACAGATCATGGTAGGATGAGGTTGGGACGCCATGCTTTTTTGCCACATGTTGCTGGAATGCAAAGAATTCCGTGGACTCAGGGCGAGGATGCCTCCAGAGCTCAACAGAGTCCTTCGATCCATCGTTGGCGTTGCTCGCTGCCATTATACCAAAGTCGGTGCAGAGAAGAGAAAGTATTGAGGATGGCTTGAAATGTACTAGTTAGTAGCTTGGAGAAAGAACCACATGCGGCCGATGCTGCCAGTTGAACTCCGATTCTACACGAACATCGGGCGGAATTGGGTCCGGACGGAAATGCGACGACATGGACCAAACCATCCTCGGTCCTGCTTCGGGACCAGGAACAGGTCAATGATGCGCGATCTGAGATTTTAAGACGGGAGAGATAATGGACTTGTACAGTAGTCGTACTGTGTAGATGAGTGATCTTACCCTGCCAATTCACGGCGTGCACGGGAACCCAATTGACCAGTGCGGCAACTCGTCCCTGTATGAGTAGTTTTCAGGTGTTCGGCGTCGGCCCATGGTGACTCTCTCCGACAGGGCTGTATGAGAGGGAGGCCTGGTCTGTAAATCTACTCACTCTTGTCGATGACTCGTTTGTCTCTGCGCAATGGCTATTGCACTGTGAACGGAGCACTGGGTAATTGAGACGAGCCCCGACGCGACTCGACGCGACGGGCACGAGTTACTGTGTAAATCAAGTGATCAGCTCATTTATCGGAAATGGACAGACGAGATGCTGGATGATGAGTGCCAAGGAGACTGCGGGGACGAACGTTTAGGTGAGTTTAGTGCACCCGTAGCCAGATCCTTCTACCAATAGGGGACTTCTCCCGGTCGACGTGCAAATTTCTGCCAGCTCCGCTTTAACCGGCTGCCCCCTATTTCCCAGCGCGGATGGACACGACGGCCCCTGGAAGTCCTTGGAGCAGCCAGGCACTGAGAGGCAGTCAGGCCTAGAAGCAATTTCGTAGTAGCAACAGCCCCAGTTTCAGCAATAGCTTTTGACTGCTGTCAGCAGAGCTTCTCTACTTTGAGCATCGCGTCGCGTGCACCGCTTCAGTGGCATCCTATCTACTCTGCACCTCTTCTTCCTGTCCTCCATCTTTCTTCCTCAACTTTATACCGTAAGCTCTTGCGTCTCGATCAGCTGCTCTCCGCAACGAGGCAACGGGTCTGCGGCTCCCTAGGCTGAGGCGGGCGGTTTGCTGCAAGGCACGAGCCTGTGGTGCCCAATCACGGCTGGGACGGAATTGTCTGTCATCCGGGTTCGCCGGCGGCTGGTGTCATACATTCGACATTGCATGATCCTTCGTCGCATTCGCAACCAAGAAAACGAAGCCGCCCCCAGAGCGTCCAGCACCTCCTTCAGCCGGTTTCGCTGTGGTCCATCCTCGTTACACGCACCTCGAATTCATCTACATCGGCCAGCGCCCCTCGCCCATACCCCTTGTCGTCAAGCAGAAGCAGCATTGATCCTCGCCGAGACCCTTCGAAAACCTTTCTCTTCTCCAACCGTACACCGCCACAATAAC